AAAAAAAAAAAAAAAAAAAAAAAAAAGGACTTTGCCCTTAAAAAAAAATAGAGAAAGGGCATGTAAGGGTGTGGGAGGTAGATAGTAGGAATGGAGTCTCATCAACATCTTCTGAAGTGGGAAAAGGGACGGGAAAAGCTGGTGATGTAGACCTCAGTAAAGGCCATTTGTGAACTGACATTAGTTTGCTTAGAGCTGGGGGCCTAAGTTGGGCTAGCCCAGAACTCCATCTGGCAGCCTTGGCCTCAGCCTCAAACATACATTCCTATGTGACCGAGGGCATTTCTCCACCTCCATCTGTTGGGTCACTTGTCTCCATGTTCCAGGAGGGCACTCGATCCAATCACCGTGCCTATCCTAAAAATGTGACTGACAAGGTCACAGAACAGACATTCTCCCACCACGTTTTTAAGCTATTAGGATTTTACGTTTGGAGATGGAGGAAAGCTGCTTGAGTGAAGCCAAATACGTGGGTAAAGCTGAAACCGAGATCATGAACCATACGGGTTCCTGGTACTTTTTGGACCCTGTATTCAGCGGATCCTCATCCACTGCGGTCTTTTCAATTACTTAAGTCATAGATTTCCTTATTGTTTAGGCTAGCCAGAGCTGGGTCAATGAGATCGGATTGCCAGAGGATCTTCGGGCGCATGATTTCAAGTACCCTCCATACTAATGGTTCTTGGTTCCTATACTTGGCCTTGGTACTACGCACCTCGGAAGCGTAGTACCAGGCAAGCACGTGTAAAACTGACAGTATGTTCGCCCCCGCCCCCCCCGATTTCCCGTTGCAGAGCTTGAATCCCCTCCACCGCCTGCCCCTTTCCTCAGCGAACCCAAGATCTTATATTCAGGCTTCACCTCCTCAAGGGTCCTCCCCAAGGTCACCCCCCCTTCTTTCCTCGCCCCACTCCTTGCGGGCGGGGTCCACGTCCCCCTCAGTCGCGAAGCCAGGCGCTCTAGGCTGCAGCGGGTCCTTCCCAGAACCGCGTCATCTCGCTGGTTTCCGGTACGCGGCGGCTACTCTATCCTTCAGCAGGGACTAGGGACTCTAGCCTGCAAAGTGGCTGCTCTATGGTTGGCTTCTCTCCTGTGTCCCGAGTTCCTTCCGAGAGGACGTTGTGGTGGGACCCAACTCCTTCCCACCGCTGCCTCTGTGGCCCCTTTCAAGTGCACCGAGAGCAGTCACTGGCGCTCTAGGAGATGCCCCCTCCTCCTAGTCCCCGCAGGCTCTGCGCCGAGTAGGAGTATGGCGGAAGTGAGTACGAAAGTGCCCTTCCCTCTCGTCGCCCTCCTCTATGGTCGCTTCCCTCCGCGACGGGAAAAGAAGTCCCCGCGCCTGCGCAGACCCGGGCTGGGCGCTCGTCGCGGAGGGGGAGGGGCACAGGGAGCGGGAGCCGCCGCCGCCGCTGGAGCTAACCGCGGGGACCGAGATGCAGGTGGGACCGGAACCGGAACCCCCCTCTTCCAGTGGCTCTTCCCTCTCCGCGACCCGGCCCGGCGCCTGCGAGGAGCCCAGGGTGGGGGTGGGCGTGGGGCCCCAGGGCAGGAGGGGCACTTGGCCCTGCAGAGTGCAGCGCACAGGGCTGGTCCCCAAGAGGCTGCGGCCCCGGGGAGTGGGCGCTTGGGGCGGGGGTGGTCCCGCAGGTAGAGTCAGGTCAGAGTGGATTGCCCACGAGGCCCAGAGGGTCCGAGCCAGGAGAGGAGCCTGCAGCCTCCACCACCCGCCCTTCGGGAAATGTCAGAACCGAGCCAAGAGGCAGGTGCACCGCGAAAATGTCTCTGAGTCCTGCTGGGCAGAAGAGAAACTGAGTCACCAGCTCAGGAGCTGTGGGGTCAGCCGGGCTGGAGGGGGCTGGGTCTGCCGGCGGTGCAGAGGGCTGGGTGGGTCTGCGTGAGCCGAGGTGGCCTCTGGCTGGGGATCGTCCCTGCTGTGTCTGCACCCCTTGGCTCAGTTCCCCTCGGCTCCGTGACTCGCGCATCTTCTGGCTGCATGTTGTGGGTTTGGAGTTGTCCCTAGGCTTGGGGCCATCTGAGAGTGTAGGGCCGGGGCCAAGAGGGAAAGGGAGGGGTCGCTGACTGGCAGCCTGGCTGCGGTGTGAGTAGCATTCTAGCGTTGCTCGTGGTTTGGAGAGGCTTTCCCCAGCTGCCTTCACCCCAGTCCTGGGCCTTGGCCCTCCCGGGTCGCATAGGGAGCAGCACTAACCAAAAAGCCATGGGTCGTAAATTCCACACCCGGCTCTCTCTGGTCGGGAAACCTTAGGAAGCCTTCCTTCCTCTAATTACGCTTTTAGAAAATTGGAACTCTAATACTATCCTCCCCCATAAAGATAGTAATGATGGCAGTCATCTCTCCTGTGCTTACTTCGTGTCAAGCGCTGACATGTTCCATTCCAGCCGGAGCGGGTAGGGATCGTTAGCTCTGTTCTGCGGATGACAAGGCTGGGGCTCAGGAGCCCATGTGTGATCTTTCAGGATCACAGCTGAGAGGTGGCTGAGCTGGGGTTTCAGCCCAAGTCTGACTCCAGAACCTGCGCCCTTAACCACCACACTAAGCAGCCCTTAGGGCACACTGCCCAGAGACAGAAAAAGGAGGAGGAAAAGCCTCGGCTCCCTGTGATTATCTGTCCTGGGCGGCAAAGCCTTGCCCTGACCCAGCCCACCATCTGTTTGCCTCTTGTGCTGCTGCCCCTGGGCCCCGAGCTAAAGGGGGCACCCAAGAAGTGGGCTGTGGCCATTCCAAGTCTGCTTTACACAGTGCTCGGGTGCTGGGCTCTGGAGTCGGCTCTCAGACAGTTGCCGTTTCCATCCATCTCCGCGGAGCTGGACCCCGGGGTGCGGGAGGCAGAGTCCAGACTCTGTAGTCCTAGCCTGCTGCTGGCGCCTTGAGAGTTGGGGCAGTTAGGAGCTGCGGCCGAGACTGGTCCAGCCAGTCCTTGGGGACGAGGACTGTACGGTGGGAAAAACAGTAGGCTGGGCGTCCTGGAACTCGTTCCACCTTCAGTTCCCTCATCTGTTAGGAAGGCTATTAAACCCGCTCACTAGGAAAGGTAAGATGACCCCGTGGAGGTGTGTGCTAGACAGTGGGGGGTCTGCCTTAGAGAAGGGGTAATGGGGCCTGGAAAAGAGTCCTCTGTGAGGAACCCGCCCCCACGTCGTGGTCCTGGCGAGTGGTCTGAAGGCGGCAGGAGAGATACAGGCTAGATGCGGGTGCACGGCGGAGGTACATGGGCTGCGGACCTAGGGTGGGAAAGGAGGCAGTGTGGTTCTCTTCTCTTGCTCTCTGAGCTCCTAACCGGGGTAGGGAGTCCCTGGCTTGGGAGGGACGCGCCCCCAGTCCCACCTCTGCAGTGACTGTGTGTGCCTCTCTCTTCCTCCCGCAGCTGCTGCCGCTCACCCCGTGTCTTCCGGCCGCTTCCCTCTTCGCTGCCCTTCCCCACCGGCTGTCCCTCTCCACCTCCTGGGGTCCATCATGAATGGTACCCCTTCCCCAGAGGATGGGGCCTCCCCCTCCCCCCCTCCCCTGCCTCCACCCCCTCCCCCGAGTTGGCGGGAGTTCTGTGAGTCCCACGCCAGGGCTGCTGCCCTGGATTTTGCCCGCCGTTTTCGCCTCTACCTGGCCTCCCACCCCCAGTACGCGGGGCCTGGGGCTGAGGCCGCCTTCTCCCGCCGGTTTGCTGAGCTCTTCCTGCAGCACTTTGAAGCCGAGGTGGCCCGGGCCTCTGGCTCCATCTCACCATCCCTCCTGGCGCCCCTGAGTCCCGGTGTGGAGATCCCGCCGCCTCACGACCTGTCCCTTGAGAGCTGCAGGGTGGGTGGGCCCCTGGCTGTGCTGGGCCCTTCTCGATCGTCCGAGGACCTGGCCGGCCCCCTCCCTTCCTCAGTCTCTTCTTCGACGACCTCGAAGCCGAAGCTCAAGAAACGCTTCTCCCTCCGTTCAGTGGGTCGCTCTGTCCGAGGTTCAGTCCGTGGCATCCTGCAGTGGCGGGGGGCTGTGGACCCTCCGTCCCCAGTTGGGCCCCTGGAGACCTCATCCAGCCCCCCAGTCCTAGGTGGAAACAGCAACTCCAACTCCTCCGGTGGGGCTGGGACTATTGGCAGGGGACTGGTTGGTGACGGCACGTCTCCTGGGGAGAGATGGACTCACCGATTCGAGCGGCTGAGACTAAGTCGGGGTGGGGGGGCCTTGAAGGATGCATCAGGGATGGTGCAGAGGGAGGAGCTGCTGAGTTTTATGGGGGCCGAAGAGGCTGCCCCTGACCCAGCTGGCGTGGGCCGGGGAGGAGGGGCAGCCGGGCTGGCCTCGGGGGGAGCAGGGCAGCCTCAGTGGCAGAAGTGTCGCTTACTTCTGCGAAGCGAAGGAGAAGGAGGAGGAGGAAGCCGCTTGGAGTTCTTTGTGCCACCCAAGGTGAGGCGAGGAGGAGTCTGAGTGGCTGGGGACTGGGGACGGGTTGGCCGGAGGAGTCGCTCTCCTGCAGGCCCACTGTGCGGCTTGCCCACCCACACAGGTAGCCTGGCTGCCTTTTTGTTTTTAGGTTTTTTGTTGTTGTTTTTGTTTTTTTGAGACAGGGTCTCGCTATGCAGTTCAGGCTGGCCTTGAGCTCACTTTGTAGCTCCAGCTGGTCTTGAACTTGCAACGATCCTCCTGCCTCAGCCTCCTGAGTGCTGGGATGACAGGCGTGCGCCACTACACCCTGCATGCCTTTTTGTTTTCAGATCTAGCTGTGGGCTCTTGAGTTAGCTGTGGGCAGGACTGGGAGCAGCGTTATTGCCTTCCACCCAGCTCCCCTGGGACGTAGAAGGACCGGTCAGTGAGGGAAGGGGGCTGATGTTTCCGAAGACCCGCAAACCAGAGCTTGTTCCTGCCCCCACCTAGGCGTCCCGGCCCCGACTCAGCATTCCCTGCTCGACTATCACAGACGTTCGGACGACCACGGCCCTGGAGATGCCGGACCGGGAAAACACATTTGTGGTTAAGGTAGGAGCTCGGAGCCCAAACCCCGAGGAGGGCCTGTGCTGGGGAGGGCACGCTCAGCTCACTGAAGCAGGTGTCACTGGCAGAGGGCAGTGCCTGTGTCGGGTGCCCTGAGAGTGTGTGTCTCCTGGCCCCACAGGTGGAAGGCCCCTCGGAGTATATCCTGGAGACAGCTGACGCTGTCCATGTGAAGGCCTGGGTGTCCGACATCCAGGAATGCCTGAGCCCAGGGTGAGGAGCCTGCCTTCTGTTCCTGAGGGGCCGGGGGCGGGTAGGGAGCGGCCTCGAGCCTCTCCTCATGTACCTTTCTCCCCAGCACCATCTTCTTTGTCTCTGCAGACCCTGCCCTGCCACCAGCCCTCGCCCCATGACCCTGCCCCTGGCCCCTGGGACCTCCTTCCTCACTAAGGAGACTGCAGACGGCCTGGAGCCCCCCTGCCTGAACCACTCAGAGAGTGTGCCCAGCCAGGACCTGCTGCTGGGGCCTAGCGAGAGCAATGACCGCCTGTCACAGGGTAAGGTGGCGCCTCGGAGACCTGGACGTCCCAGAGCCCGCTGTGGGAGGCTCCTGCCATTGGGCCCCCGTTCCTGTTCCTGCTGCTTGTCTTTTGTGTCCCAAAGTGCCAGGCACTCTTGGGCCGCTGCTTGCCTTTTAATATTTAAATAACTAATTAGTTTTGTGGTGCTGGGGGCTGCACCCACAGGTGAGCAACCACACTGAGCAACATTCTCAGCCCCAGTTTGCCATTTAGACCCACTGCCAGCCGCACAGGTCCCAGCCACCTCCTTTCTGGCCTGGTCCCTTTTTCCATGTGTCACACAGGCCACTGCTCTGGCTGGAGATGATGGTTCTCTTCCCCAGGCATCCAGAACACTTCGGAGACGTCTTTGTTTTTTGTGTTTTGGGTGCTGGGAATCGAACTCAGGACCTTGTGCTTGCCAGGCAGGTGCTTATGCCACTAAGCGATATCACCGGCCCCGAGATCTTCGTTTTGTTCTGTTTTTTTTGTTTTTTTTTGTCTTTTTGAGACAGGGTCTCGCTAGGCAGTTCAGGCTGGCCTTGAGCTCACTTTGTAGCCCAGGCTGGCCTCAAACTTGCAATGATCCTCCTGCCTCAGTCTCCCGAGTGCTGGGATTACAGGCGTGGGCCATCATACTTGCTGCTTTGTTTTGTTCTTACTGTGCATCTCTGCACCTGTTGAGGATGTCAGATTCTCTCTGCCATATTTGTAGTTTTTCAGCTGAGCAAACACACAGCACACGTGAATGCCTGCTCCTTCCTAGATTCAGCTTCCACTCTGCCCTTTGCTCCTGATCTGAGTTCCATCTTCCTAGTGCCTAGCGCTCAGCCTAGCACACAGGCTGTACACGGTGGGTGGAAAAAGGAATCTTAGACTCTGCGGGCTGGAGTGGAACTTACAGGTCATCAGATTTGAGGCAGCCCAGACCAGGAAGAGGAAGAGGTTTTTCTGAGGTCACCTAAGTTACTGAGAAACGTGGGCTGTGCCATCCTGCTTCCTGAGCGGCTGCCCTCTGCTCCACACATCTTTTGAACCCTGTGGACCTGCATGACCTTCATGTAGGCCCAGGCTTGCCTGGCAGACGACCAGGCAGCCCCCGGTACACATGGTACTGACCCTGTGCTGGGCCTGGGGCAGAATGGGGAAACTCAGGTGCCTGAGATGGGCTCAGTCCAGCTGGGCTGGCAAGACATCGTTCCCAGCAAGAAGCAGGTCCCCTAGATGGAGAGTGTGTGCTTAGTGTCCTCTGAGCGGCACAGCAGGAAGCACCTTGAGAGGTGAGGAGGAAGAGGACGGGCATGTGGAGTAGAGCACTGCCGAGGAGGTAAGAGAAAAGAACGTGGCTCAGAGGAGGCACAAGGGCAGCACAGAGGCTGGAGGTGGGGAGGACCCAGGATCCTTGGGAAAACTAGGTAAGATAAATGAGCTAGAGTAAAAAATAGATACAAGTTAAGGTAACGATCAAGTTGGTTTAATTTAGGGGGTATTAATCAGAGGCTGTTTGGTTATTGTTGCCTCTTAGAATTGGGAGCTTTTAAATCAGGCATGGCACACATCTGTACTCCCAGCATTCTGGAGGCTGAGGCAGGAAGATCATAAGAAGGATCACTAAGGGGAGCTGGGGATTTAGCTCTGCGGCACAGCACCTGCCTGGCAAGCGCAAGGTCGTGAGTTTGATTCCCAGTATGGGAAAATAACAACAAAAAAAAAAAAAGGATCACTAAGTAGCAGGGGCTATTTAGTGAATTCAAGGTCAGCCTGAACTATGTAGTAAGATCCTGTCTCAAAATACAAGCAAAAAAAAATACAAGCAAACTGGGCAGGGATATATAGCTCAGTGGCACAGTGCCTGCCTGGCAAGTGTGAGGTCCTAAGTTTGATTCCCGGTACAAAAAAACAAAAACAAACAAAAGAAAGCTGGGAGCTTTGTCCTATACTCCCAACAAAAGTGAGTACTTTTCCCTGTCTTGTCTCTCTCTGTGTCTGTCTCTCTCTATTTTTCACTGAGGATGGAACCCAAGGCCTTGCACTGATCTACATCCCTATCCCTTTGTATTTTCTCAGACAAGAGTTTTCTTGCTAAATTCCACAGGCTGGGCTCAAACTTGGCATCCTCCTGTCTCAGCCTCTTGGGTAGCTGGGATTATAGGGATAGGCTACTACTCCTGACTTGGACTCTTTTAATGTGAGAATATTTGAGGGGTTCTACTCCTTGCCCACTCTGGAAAAGTTTTTGATTCGTAGAAGACATAGGCACATTTGGGTTCTAGGGTGTGCAGTAACCACAGTGTAAGGAGTGTCAGCTGGGACCGTTGGTAAAACTGTCAGATCAGTCTTCCAGGGAGGCTGGACACTGCTGGTGGAAAACCGGTAGGCGCCCCAGGCCTTGGGTAAGGAGCTTGAGTTTTCAACTTTGTTCTCCATTTCTTCCCAGGGGCTTATGGGGGCCTATCAGACCGGCCCTCCGCGTCCATCTCCCCCAGTTCGGCTTCCGTGGCTGCCTCCCATTTTGACTCAATGGAACTGCTTCCCCCAGAGCTGCCCCCCCGCATTCCCATTGAGGAGGGTCCCCCGGCAGGGACAGGTCATCCCCTCTCAACCCCCTATCCTCCTCTGGACACTCCGGAAACAGCCCCAGGTACCAGTGCATGCACACCTGACCCCAGGCCGTGCATCTCCCGCGGCTCCTGTCTTGGGCTCCGACCCAGGGGAGGGAGTAGATCCGGGTCCAAGGAGGCGCCTGGCGCAGGGAAAGGAAGGTTTTCTTTCTCCCAGGACACGGGAGGCCTCCTGACACCCTGGCTTCCCTCCCTCTCTCCTTCCTGAAGGGTCATTCCTGTTCCAGGAGTCGGAGGGCGGGGAGGGGGAGCAGCCCCTCTCAGGGTACCCTTGGTTCCACGGGATGCTGTCGCGACTGAAGGCCGCCCAGCTAGTGCTGGAAGGGGGCGCCAGCTCCCATGGCGTGTTTCTGGTGCGGCAGAGCGAGACGAGGCGGGGCGAATACGTCCTCACTTTCAATTTCCAGGGCAAGGCCAAGGTGAGCGGGCCTGGGCGCAAGGGCGGGCGCTGCCCGGGGAGGAGGGTTGTCACCCGCAGGGCGCCCGCCCCCGCCTCACGTGCTCCTCTCGCCCTCAGCACCTGCGCTTGTCGCTGAACGAGGAGGGTCAGTGCCGGGTCCAGCACCTGTGGTTCCAGTCCATTTTCGATATGCTCGAGCATTTCCGGGTGCACCCCATCCCTCTGGAGTCCGGAGGCTCCAGTGATGTGGTCCTTGTCAGCTATGTGCCCTCCCAGCGGCAGCAGGGTGAGCAGAGCAGGTCTGCAGGGGAGGTGCCCGTGCACCCGAGAAGTGAGGTGTGTGTGCCAGCAAGGCGGGGCGGGGGGCTGTGAGGAGAGGCGCTGAGGGGCGTCCGCACCGGGGGCTGCACGGGACGAGAAGGCCGCTAGGACCTAGGCAGGCAGAGGCTCCTTGCGGGGCCGGGAGGCAGTGCAGAGCTGGGGGGACGCATCCCCATTCCATCGGATCCTCTTTCGTGCCATCATCCATGTGTCCCGGCTCCATCCTCCCCGGCTTGTCTCTGCCCTTCGTCACCACCCCGCCTCGGGCCTGCCCTTCTGGGGGGTGCTTGGTGTGGCCCCCTCCCCCCTCCATGTCTGATGTCCCTGTCTGATCTCTCCCCTTTGCCCGCCCCGACGCCCCATCTGCCCCCACGTTGCCCCTCCCCCCAGGCCGGGAGCAGGCCGGGAGCCATGCAGGGGTGTGCGAGGGAGACCGATGCTACCCCGATGCCTCCTGCACCCTCATGCCCTTCGGAGCGAGTGACTGTGTGTAAGTGTGGTCCTCCTCTCACCGCCACCCATGATCCATCTTCCATGGAGGGGGGCTGCTCAGGAAGCGGGCTGTGGGGGAGCTAGCGCTCGGCTCCCGGGGCGACGAGCACAGGGGCGGCCGCCGCCGGAGCTCGCCTCCCCCCACCATCGGTCCGTCTTCTCGCCATTCCTATCCAGAATCGAACACCTCCCATGACCCACCCCAGCCCCCTGAGCCCCCTTCATGGACAGATCCCCCACATCCTGGGGCAGAAGAGGCGTCGGGGGCGCCAGAAGTGGCGGCAGCCGCAGCCGCAGCAGCCAAAGAGAGGCAAGAGAAGGAGAAAGCGGGCAGTGGAGGGGTCCAGGAAGAGCTGGGCCCCGTGGCTGAGCTGGTCCCCGTGGTTGAATTGGAAGAGGCCGTAGCGCCAGGCGCGGAGGCCCAGGGTGGTGCTGGCTCTGGTGGGGACGCCGGGGTGACCCCGATGGTACAGCTCCAGCAGTTACCACTAGGGGGCAGCGGAGAAGAAGGGGGCCACCCCAGGGCCGTTAATAACCAGTACTCCTTTGTGTGAGATGCCCCCCACCCACCCTCGCACCCGCCCCTCGCTCCCCAGCCCGGGCTCCAGAGATGGGGCCTCCCGAGGGACGCAGAGGAGAGGGGGAGCCCCCGCGCCCATGCCTCCCGGCCCTTGACAGCCCGGGGCGCGTACAGTGCGTTGGTACGAGCAGCGGGTCCAGGGCCCTGCTGACTCCCTGACTCCTACACTACAGGTGCCCCTTCCTAGGCAGGGACTTGGGCTCCGTTACCTCCCTGAGGGGCCCTTGCAGCCAGCCCCACCGCGGGGCCGTTTCCCCCTACCCCGAACCACCCCCCGCCCGAGCAAGGCCGAGGGGGAAGGGCTGTCAGTTATGTTAAGGTGGTTGTTGTTGTTGTTTTAAACAAAAATGGAGCATAAATAAATAAAGGGGTTTATCTCAGTTCCGTGGTGACGACCGCGTGTGCTTGCCGTGGGGGCTGGGTGGCCCCGTCCACGCTGTGGTCCGGAGCTGAGAGGCCAGCACGCCTGTCCCTCCCCAGTCCAGGGTCCTCAGGCCACCATCCCGGGGCCTGTTTCCGTGCTTGCAAAGTGGAGTTCAGCAGTGCTCCCTGGGCCAGGGATATAGCTCAGCGGCACAAACGCCTGCCTGGCAGCGCAAGGTCCTGAGTTCGATTCCCGGTACCAAAAAAAAAAAAACAAAAACAGTGCTTCCTGGGGTCTCCAGCCATTTCTCTTAATAGAACTGGGCAACGAATGACAGGGTTGATGACTGCCAGGTGTTCCTGCACTGAATTATTGAGTTAGGCTCCCTACCTAGGGGACACCGCGACCTGCGTTGGGATTTAATGTGGCAGTCAGGCTGGCTGTAGAGGGGCCCAAGGACAGACTGACTGTTCCCCTTTCTCAGAGCTAAGCCGGAGACTGGATGATGAAGAGCCCCAATTTCTAGGCCTGGCTTTGCCTGTTATTTATGTGCTGTGTGACCTGGGGACAAGGCATAGCCAGTCTGGGTCTTAGTGTCCTCATTTGTAAAACGGCAAGTTTCATCTTAGAGCTGCAGAAGTGACTCCTTCGCCCTGGATACTGTTTCCTTTTGAGTTCCACGTAAGTCCAGTCCAGGTTACTGACCCAGTTGAAAGCCAGCTGATCAGCTGAGGGGTCCAGCCTCCCCATCCAGTAACCTGTCTCTGCTCTCCAACGTCACCTGCCCACACCTGGGCTGTGCCCTCCTCCAGCAGAGGGCAAGCCTGTTTCCCAGCTCTGGGATAGCAGGTGCCAATGTAACAGCCAGGGTCTGAGGTGCCCCCTATGCGGCCAGCCCCTTCGCCGCCAGCCCTGCGCTCACTGCCCCTAGGCGGAGTGGAACTGCCACCTTCTGACCCCCAGCCTCTGCCCCTGCTCCGGGAGGCCCTGCCCACGCTCATGACCTTGCTATTCTGGGCCTTGCGTCCTGTGGGGAGATGGACAGGAGACAGCTGGGCGCACAGGCCACCCAGGCCGGGGGCTGGCCAGGGGAAGCCTGTTGGCTCTCCCCATAGCGTCTCATCCCAGGGGCTCCCCAAAAACTTGGCCTCAGGAGACCGTGGATGGAGTCGGCCCTACAAAGGGGGATGGTGCTTTGGAGACCTGGGTGCTGCGTTCTCAAAGTGAGGTGGCCAGCAAGGGCTGTGGCGCCCAGGGTAGGCAGGGCCTGATCCTCTCCTAATCTAGTGGCAGCTGGCGCTAAGGCTCCCCCTTTCCCCAAACCCTGCGGCCTTCAGGGACTTGGCTTCCAGAGATGGAGGGGGGCAGGCACGAGGACACCCACCCACTCCCCAGACTGACTTCTCTCTGCTGGAGGCGACTGGAGACAAGTTCCCTCCAAGCGTTTGTTTACAGATAGTTAAACCAATGTCTGGAACTGGTCAGCGACGGGCCAGGCGCTGCCTGCTATCCTTTACAGCTGGGACTCTCCCGTCCCTCAGCTCCAGCCCACAGGCAGGAGAAAATATACCTTCAGCCCTGGGTGAGAGACCCCAGTGGGGAGGGGTCCTAGGGAGCATCTCGGAGCCCACCTGCCCCCACGCTTCTGCAGTGCCAGCCTTCTCTGTTCTCCGACCTCAGACTGCCGCTCTGGGAAGCTGGGCGGTAGAAATGAATAACCTCAAAGGGCCCCGCTGGCAGGAGTGCCCTGTAAAGCCTACCTCCTTCTCTCTTCTCATGCTCAACTCCCCGAAGCTGCCCATCTTCGTCTCCCCTCCATGTTTGGGCATTCCTGCTGCTGTAAGACAGTGGCCCTGTCACTCCTCCAGGTGCTGCTGGGGAGAAGCCAGCCAGCGCCAGAAGGCTTAGAGGTGCTGAGCCTGACTCTGGGCCGGGGAGGTGGGTGCTGGGCCAGGTAGAGGAGCCTGTGATGTGACCCCTGACACAGCCCATTGTCTGGGCCCCCCCACCCCCAGGTCACAGCAGGACTCTGCTTCAGGGGAGGGGTTTGCTGGAACCATGAACGCAGAGGGAAGGAACGCCTTGTCCTCGGCTCACCCAGAAGGCTGTCCCTCACCCAAGTGCAGGCAGAAGGGAGTCTGCGAGGCCAAATCCTCAAGCTCCATCACCTTCCCCAAAAGCTGGACTTCTCTCTCCTCTGCCACCTCCTGCACGGCTCTCTGCCTGGGGGCTGAGCCCCAGGGTAGGACACAGCCTGAGGAACCCTTTTTGGGCCGGCTCCATGGCACACGCTTCTAGTCCTAGCTACTTGGGAGGCTGAGGTAGGGCGATCCGATTGCAAATTTGAGCCCAGCTTGGGCAATTTAGCAAAACTTAGTCTCAAAATAAAAGGGGCCGAGGATGTAGCTCAGTGCTTCCTGGGTTCAGTCTCCAACACTGCCAAATTAATTAAATGAATGAATGAAAGAAGAAAAGGAAAGAAGAAGTAGCCAGGTGTGGCGCATACCTGTAATCCTAGCACTTGGGCGGCTGAGGCAGGAGCCAAGTCTGGGCTACAAAGTGAGATCAAGGCCAGCCAGAACTGCATATTGTTTTTTGTTTCGTTTCGTTTTGTTTTGGGGGCGGTATGGGGAATCAAACTCAGGACTTTGTGCTTGCCAGGTAGGCGCTGTGCCCCTGAGCTATATTCCCAGCCCGGTTTCTTGCTTGCTTGCTTTTTTTTTTTTTTTTTCTGTTTTTTTTTTTCGGTACCAGGAATCAAACTCACGACCTCGAGCTTGCCAGGCAGGCGCTGTGCCGCTGAGCTAAATCCCCAGCCCTCCAGTTTTTTTTTTATTTTTTAACTGAACTGCATATTGAAACCCTCTCTCAAAAAGACAAAAAAGAAAGAGAGAGAAAGAGGGAGGGAGGAAGGAAGAAAGAAAAAGGGAAAGGGAAAGGCAAAAAAAAAAAGCAAAAAAGCCAGCCAGCCAGGCATGGTGGTGGAGTCTTGTAATCCGATCACTCTGGGAGGCTGAAGCAGGATTGCAAGTTCTAGCCCAGCTGGGGCAACTTAGTGACTTAGCAAGACTATCTCAAGATAAAAAATAAGAAAGGAGTTGGGGGCACAGCTCGAAGCAGAGGCCCTGGGTTCAATCTCTGGCACCACACACACAATCAAAACTAAAACTACAACATTTTTTCAAAAGATTTTTAAGCAGGGCATAGTGGCATACACCTATAATTCCAGCACTCAGGAGGCTGAGGCAGGAGGACTGCCGCTAGTTTGAGACCAAGCTGGACTACATAGTGAGTTCAAGGCCAGCCTGTGAGAAAAAAAAAAAGTTTTTTAAAGGTTGAGGATGTAGCTTAGTGATGATAGAAGCCTTACCTAAAATGCACAAGGCCCTGTGCTCAGCAGCCAGTACTGCAGAAATAAAATAAGAACCCACTCAGTGCTCCCTGCACCCCTGTTCACCGCAGGAAACTGAGGAAGGACTTGAGCTCAGGGTCGTAAGGCTCCTTGCCCTCACTGACCCCTCACCACTACACTGAGAGCCTCTCCTCTGCGTTGCTTGCCCGCCTGCCCGCCTGCATCCCAGGGTAGCCGCTCCATTCCTCCAGCAGCTGCGCTGGTGGAAACCAAAAGATGCCCCCATCTCTGAGCAGGGTGGGGAAGAGTGGCTCGGAGCAGCTGCTTCTCTGAGGAAGCTGACACCAAGGCCAGCCGCTCAGCAACAACTTGTGGCTTTGCACCCAGCCCTGGGGTCCCTGCCCACCTGGCTGCCACTAGCCTGCACCCTGCTGTCCCTTTTTCCCACTGCTCTTCAGACTTTCCTGTGACCCTGGCATGTCTGTCTCTGGGCTCGCCTCCCCCCAGCTCCTGCTGTGTCATTTCCCCTAGACCTGTCCCCCGAATCCGCCCCCTCCCCATCCCTCTGGTCTGGAGCCTCTGCTTTATTGAGGTTCCTCAGGTGGCCTCACCTTCCTCCTCCGCCTCCTCCAGTGGGGCAGCCCCAGTTCTGAGCACACCCCCAGGTCTGGCCCTCATTCTCTCTTGAGGGTGGCTGCCTCAGGGCCAGAGAAGGAAGACCATGCGCCTCTGGGGTCCACCACACAAACCCCTTGTGTCAAAAAGCGAGTGTGGTGTAAAATGAGGTGACCCTCATGCCATGACTTGGGGTGACCCCCTGCCCCCGTCTGAAACAGTTATTCCTCGCCCTCTGCCATCAGCACATTCTGTAGCCTCTTGGGTTACCTGGCTGCCTGGGTGTCCCATGTTCTTGAGGGGGGGATTCCCTGTCAGGAATGGAGGGGGGAGCTGAAGGCTGTGTTCCCAGAGGCTGAGCTACAGCGACAGGGAGGGGAGCAGTTTAGGGGAGAGCCAGGAAGTCCTGGCTTTGCTCACCAGGGCCTGGACACTAAATCCCTTGTTGATGGCTGCAGCAACCCCTCCCTAGGGTAGGGTTACCACCTTCTGCCCTGTCCCCTTGGCCCTCTACGGCCACTTCCTCTGGTCCTCAAAAGATGTTCTCCCTGACTTGGGTCCCCCAAAGGCATGGAGTGTCTCTGCTGCTCTTCCAACCCAGTACCCGAGGGAGGAGATGGGGGCGATGAGAACAGGCTTAGGGTGGCAGCGTCCCCTGCGAAGCGGGTGAGGGAAACGGAAGGTGAGGCCCAGAGCAGGAGGGGGCTTAGGGAAAGAGCTGGGGGATGAGTTTGGGAGGGAAGTTCAGTGCAATGGGGACGTCTAGGCAACAGGGGGAGGGGTCAGCAGCAGATGACAGAAAGTGAATTCTCTCCCTGCCCCACACCCCCTGCCACCTTTGCTTCCCTCATGAGTGACATCTCAGGCTGCGGCCCCACTGTTCCCCTCTGTCAGCAGAAATATCTCTCTCTTCTGACCCCTCCTGCTGGAGTCTCAGCCAGCCAATCCCTGATCTGGGGGAGGGGGGAGCCTGGCCCCCCACTCCCTCATAAGGACCAGCTGGGGGGTGTGGGGGTGGCCGGCTGCTGCAAGTGGGACGGGGTCAGAGCTCTGTGGAGGGAAGAGAAGTCTGGGGGGGCAGGCGAGAAAAAGGGAAGAAACCCAGGCCAACAGGCAGGTGGACACACTGAGGAAGGCCCCCCACAAGTGAGAGCCCCCCCAGAAAGAACACACCACCCCTGGCCCCCGAGAAGGGAGCACAATGGAGGCCGCACACGCCAAGACCACAGAGGAGTGTTTGGCCTATTTTGGGGTGAGTGAGACCACAGGCCTCACCCCGGACCAAGTTAAGCGGCATCTCGAGAAATACGGCCCCAATGGTAAGTGCCCCTCGGAGGAGAGGCCGGTAGCCCTTTCCTGCGCGTACACACGCGACACGCGCGCGTACACACCGCACCCTCACACACCCTCTCCGGCCCCCTCCTGGGTATCTGAGAGCCCTGGTCCAGGGCTGCTGGAGGGAGAAGACACTGAGATCTCAGGGTCTCTGAGACGCGGAGCTGGGCGGTTTCAGGGGATGACCTTCATGAACCTGATGCCCTTTCGGTAGTCTGATTCTCTTACCTTAGCCACAAAATCCTGGGGGTGGAGGCATGAGGCTGAACCCCGAATGAAAATGTCCTTTTCTTCTTTTTCTCTGGGTAGAGCTCCCCGCTGAGGAAGGTAAGTTACTGGAAGCCCTGAGCCCCCACAAATGCCCCCCTCCCGTGTCCTACTCTATCTTCTCCTTAGAGAGCCCACATCCCTTCCCAAAGGGCAAATGTCCCGCTCCAAAGATTACAACCCACAGGGCAGACGTCTCCAGGCGCTCTCTCCTTGAGGCGTCCTCCCCTTGAACCGCTGCCCACAGCTCCGAGGAGCCTGCTTCTGGACTCCTGGCAGCTCCCCGCGCGCTCCTCTCCTACAGAGCTGCCTGCCCATCACCCTAGGGATTCAGGGCGCTCCAGCCCCTGGACCCCCGCCCGCGAGCACAGCCCCAGAGCTTGAGCCTTAGGACCTTAACCCCGGGGTCCCCTCCCCTTGCCTCTGCCCCCAGGGAAGTCCCTGTGGGAGTTGGTAGTAGAGCAGTTTGAAGACCTCCTGGTGCGGATCCTTCTCCTGGCCGCCTGCATTTCCTTTGTAAGTGTGAGAGGGCACTGAGGGCTGGCTGGGGTGTGACGGGGTGGGGGGATCAGGAGTCCGCTCGGGTGGAAAGCTGGGCTCCCAGTCCCGGATCCTCCCGCCCAAGCCCCGAGCATCCTATCTTCCAGACCAGAGCTGGGTGCTGGTGGGGGGGCTGGTTCCCGTCCTCTGTCCTCTTTCACACTCCGCAGGCGGGTTTTATTTTAAGCTTTAAGGGCGTTCTCGGCCAAAACACTGAAGCTAAGCCACCCTCGCAGCTTCAAGAGCTTCGAGGGCTCGGGTTACTCCCTAAGCGACGCGCCCGGCTCGGGCTCCAGCGCGGGCTGTAACTCCCGGGGCCACGACCACTCCCGGCTAGCCCCGCGCGCGCCGCTCCGCCAATCCCCGCGCGCGCTGCGCCGCTGCCCAGCCCTGCCCGGCCTCTGACGCTGATTGGTCGAGGAAAGACTCGCGCAGAGAGGCGGGAAAGCGCTGCTTGTGCGAGGTTGGCTGCAGATGTGGCCGAGGCCCCTCCCTCCGCTCCCCGGGCCGCCGAACCCCAGCTCCTTCTCCTCGCCCGCCAGCCTGACTGGTCCCTAACCCCTCTCCGCCTCCCCAGACCCCGCGCAGCCTGCGAGCTACTTTCTCCGCCCTCCTGGCCTGGGCGCTTCTGCCCCGGGACCTGCCCTAGCGTCCACAGCCGCTGCTGGGGGCTCCTTGCCATCATCCCAGGGGCCCATCATACAGTTCACAGTTGCTTTTAACATCTTTGTGCTACTGGAAGACAAGACTCTGGAGGCAAAAAACAATCCTCCCGGCCCCTTGGTCTCCTTACCGGAGGCCTGGTCCACCCCAGAGCCCAAGCTGGCACGCTACCCCTTCTGCCTTCTCAGATTTGCTCCTTGACATTTGCCAGTGGCTGTTGCCTGGCAGTGGCAACAGCTGGGCCGGGGTGTGTACAGGAGGCCGTAACCCTATCCCCGCTCCCGCTCCCTTGTGAAATTGGAGCTTCCCTGCCTGGGCTGTCGGGGAGGGCTGTGGGGGGCCAGGCGCCTGCTGGTGAGGACCACAGGGTGTTTCCTATCGGGTTTTGGCTCCCCCGAGTGGCATGGATGTGACTGCGGGGGTAGTTGACTTGGGTGTTCCCTGAGCTTTGCTTACAAGCCAGCAGTTTGGTTAGGAAACCTGAAAGCATTCCGGGTCAATCCTGAAGTGGTATGTGTTTGTGCTCCCGGGTGCGCGCTGAGCTACGCGGCAGTGGCTGCGCGCATGCTCCGAGCCCGCGAGTGTAGAGCCTTACACAGGTACAGGGCTGCAGGCCCCCGTGTGCTCCTACAGCTCCTGCACAGTCTCACCCTTCCGCTGTCTTGCTCTATTGGCTCGGGAGGCTGTGTGACCCGTGATTCTCGCCTCCCGTGCTCCTCAGGTGCTGGCCTGGTTTGAGGAAGGCGAAGAGACCATCACTGCCTTTGTTGAACCTTTTGTCATCCTCTTGATCCTCATTGCCAATGCCATCGTGGGGGTTTGGCAGGTTAGCCTTTTTTTTTGTACCGGGAATTGAACTCAGGACCTTGTGCTTGCGAAGCAGGCGCTTGTGCCACTGAGCTAGATCCCCAGCCCTGGCAGGTTAGCCTTGACTCCCTCCCCTGGGGCCTAGCACTCAATCTGAAGCCAACATGCCCTCCTCCTCTTCCATCACTTCCCCTGGCCTCACCTGGACCTCTGGTCCTCTCACCTCGTTGGGGAACGGGACGGAGGGATACAAAGGATCGGGAGACTGCGAACGACTGTCACTTGTTGGCTGTGTGACCTGACCCTGAGCAAGTTCCTCCACATCTCTAAACTTTGATTTCCTCGTCTGTAAAATGAGGCTACTATTCCTAGTCCTTTCTTCTCTTTTGTTTTTGTTGTGTTTTGCTTTTTTTTTTTTCTTTTTGAGACAGGGTCTCGCTATGCAGTTCGGGCTGGCCTTGAGCTCACTTTGTAGCCCAGGCTGGTCTTGAACTTGCAACGATCCTCCTGCCTCAGTCTCCCGAGTGCTGGGATTACGAGCATGTGCCAGCACACCCAGCTTGTCGTGTTTTTTGAGACAGGGTCTCGATTGCAATTCAGGCCAGCCTTGAATTCACTATGTAGCCTGGGCTGGCTTCAAACTCGCAGCAATCCTCCTGCCTCAGCCTCCCGAGTGCTGGGGTTACAGGCGTGCGCCATCACTCCTGACTATTAACCCTAACCCTATCGCTCAGGTTTGTGGTGAAATTGAACACAATGAGGGTGAAAGTGCCTGGCACACAGTAGGATCTCAAAAAACATGCTGTCTTGTTATCTTTCTTCCTCCTACCTTGCTGTCCTTTACTTGTCCCCTGCTTCCTGGTTTTGTTTGACTACTTATTTGTTTATTTATTGCAATATTGGAGGGCTTTTTTTTGTTTTTTGTTTTGTTTTTGTCTTTTTGAGACAGGGTCTCACTATGCAGTTCAGGCTGGTCTTGAGCTCACTTTGTAGCCCAGGCTGATCTCCAGTTCACAGTGATCCTCCTGCCTCAGCCTCCCAAGTGCTGGGATTACAGGCGTGCACCAACCACGCCTGGCTGTGATATTGGAAATTGAACCCAGGACTTGTGTACTAGGTTAAATCCCCAGGTTTTTTGTTTTTTGCTTTTTTTTTAGGCAAGATCTAAGTCTCCAAGGCTGGACTCAAATTTGCCATCCTCCTGCCTCAGCCTCCCTAAGTGCTGGGATTGCAGGGTGGTGCCACCACACCCAACCTCTTTTTGCTCTGCCCAAACCCCTCTTACCTGTCCTAAGTCATAAGTGATAGCTTCCTCAACACACACACACACACACACACACACACACACACGCACACACACACACCTCTGCCCTCAATGGGCAGCTGGAACTGTATAACCCCGCCTCCTTGGTGATGTCCCTTTCTCCCCCAGGACCTTGGTCCCTGCTCCTCCATCTTTGCACCCCTCACCTACCATCCTGGTGCATGCAGTCCAGCCCCCTCTCTCCCTGTAGCCTTACTCCCTCTGACAGCCCGCCCCCCTCCACCTCTCCTGCAGGAGCGCAATGCGGAGAACGCCATCGAGGCGCTGAAGGAGTATGAGCCCGAGATGGGGAAGGTCTACCGGGCTGACCGCAAATCAGTGCAGAGGATCAAGGCTCGGGAAATGGTCCCCGGGGACATTGTGGAGGTGGCTGGTGAGTGATACGAGCGAGTGGTCCAGGCTGTGAGGCTGTGGGTCGGAGGCCAAGAAGGTGGGGCCTGGTCCGGCCTGCTCCTGGTGTTCAGAAGGATGGAGAAGTCTCTGCCTCTCCTTCCCAGACTCCTCGGGAGGTCACCCCAGGACATTCGGCCACAGCACCCCCTCCCCATGAGAGCCTGGGCAGGAACAGCCAGTCCTGTCCCGAGGCTGCAGGCGGACCCCTGCTCCCCCTGCGCTCACCAGCACTTGCAAGCAACAGGTGGAACCCAGTCCTTGCCAATGGGCCCGTCTCCACCCCCGCGGAGCCTGGCTTCCCTCTCCTTGCAGCCGCCCGCAAGCTTGGTCAGCTTTCAGTCTTGACCTCTCGGTGCCCTTGGGGCCTCTCAAAGGGGAAGAAGTGAGGGCAGAAGGGAGGAGGGGGGCTGAATCTCAAGCCCCCAACCATGTAAGGGAAACTCCGGTTCCAGCTCGAGCACGGGACCTGGGAGGAGGGGAGCTCAAGGAGCGCCCCGCCCCCGGCGAGGGACACTTAATGCCTCCCAGGGAGGGGTGGGGGCCGGGTGGCTAAGATTACTGGGATTCTGCCCCCTTCAGCGGTTTTATATTTGCCCTGCGCAGGCCTGCCCACCTCTCCAGGCCCCTGGCATGGGGACTGTATCTTTCTAGGCCTCCGTCCCTCCACTAGACACCCATCACCACCGGGGGATGTACGGGGAGGAGGGTGAGGGAGCCGAAGACCCCAGCGCCCCACTGCAGGGCCGTCTTGCTGCGGTGACAGTTCGGAGTCGGCGTCAGGAATGTCTATAATTAGGCTTGGGTGAGGGTGTCTGCCCCACTCCATGGCTGACCTCCTCCCTCCTCCGTCTGCTTCCTCCGGCACGGGACGAGGGCCCTTAGGGACCAAGGGAAAGGAAGGCAGATGAGCCCTGTCTCCAGTCAGGCAAGGCCTGAGAGGTCTCGGAGTCTGGCAGGAGTCTGCCTGTGGATGCTGGCCTCCACCCTGGGCCTCCCTGCCCCTCAGCCTCCTTGGCCACCAGCCCACACCTTGTTTCTGGCAGCGCCCCTCCGTCCCTGCCCGCCCTGAGACCCCGGGCCTGGTGGCCGTGCCCTGTGACCTCCCCGCTCTGCCCCGCATATCCTTTTACTCGCTTCCTGCCAGCTCACTCTGCTCTGCTGGGTGCTCATTTTTCTCTTCCTCTGCTTTGATTTTTCTCAGCTCTGCACTTTCTCCCTGCCTTCCCTCTGTGCACTCCTCACGCAGCGCTTCCCTCCGACTCACCCCGATTTCTCAGCTCTTTCCTGGCCATCCCTCCTGGCCTTCCCCGCTCTTGTCTCCCTCTCTGTGTTGCTGTTTCCCGTTTTCAGCTTTAGCCAGCCAGTCTCTAGTTTTCCCTGCCGTTGTTCAGGGTACATTTAATGAGCATGTACTATGTGCCAGGAATTCTGCTGGACCCTCCCGTCACAGGCTTGAGCCAGTGGGAAGACATGCGTTTAGCAAGGTGACAGTAGGGATGGTATCACTGAGGGAGGCTTGCTGGGGCCCCAGGGGCAGACGCAGAGGGCCTGACAGGAGCCTTGAGAAGGATGGAAGAGGTGAGGGATTCAGACAAACACGGGGCCTTCCTCAGGAAGAAGGAACACTCCATTCCCAACTGATCGTGTGCTTCTCTACTCTCTCCACAGTGGGGGACAAAGTCCCTGCAGACATCCGGATCCTTTCCATCAAATCCACCACCCTCCGGGTTGACCAGTCCATCCTGACAGGTCTGCCGGCCTGGGGAGGGAGGGAGGGTGCAGAGAGGGGGGACCTGACAGGACAGGCACGGGGAGGGAGAATGCCCAGCAGTAGGGCCTTTGCCTGGCTCCATAGCGGAGCAGTGTCAGTGTAGCTCAGCCTTCCCTGACGCAAGGGATCATGGGAGAGGACTGGATGTTTGGGGGCCGTTTTCTGTGTGGCCATCGATCTACCGTTTCTACACGGACATAGGGACACCCATAGTCAAAGAACTGTCCCATCAGATGCAGGATGAGATGGCTGCTGTTTCTCCACCTTGAGGGAGAAGCTGAACAGCAGGGGACCTTCCCCAAGCCCCTGGGAGGCAGGCTGGGTCCCTGCCCTTAGTGTAAGGGAGGCTGAACCCCAACAATGGGCTTCCCCTCCCAGGATCACGCTGTCCGGCTGATCTCCACACAGCCACCCGCAACAACCCATTTGGCTACTGCCAAGACACTGCCCTAAGGTGTACACAGTACTGTGCACATTTTACAGAGGAGGTCTGGCTTGGTGGTACATGCCTGTAATCCCAGCCCTTGGGAGGCTGAGGCAGGAGGATCACTGTGAGTTCGAGACCAGCCTGGGCTACAAAGTGAGCTCAAGGCCAGCCTGAACTGCCTAGCGAGACCCTGTCTCAAAAAGACCAAAAAAAAAAAAAAAAAAAAAAAAAAGTCTTACAGAGGAGCAAGTGGCTATAAGTGGTCAACTGTAGCTTGGTCAAGGTCTTTTTAGCCTATGTGCAGTGGATTTCCCATGTGGCTCCAGCAGCTTCCTCCTGAGGCCAGACTCCAGTATGTTCCCTTGCTCTTTGCCAGGCCCTGTCCTGCTGAGGAGGGAGTGAGTTTGGGGCAGGAAGTGGGTGTGTGTGTGATGTCATCTAAAAGCGCCTCTCGGTCCCTTCTCCACAGGTGAGTCTGTGTCTGTCATCAAGCACACAGAGCCTGTCCCTGACCCCCGAGCTGTCAACCAGGACAAGAAGAACATGCTTTTCTCGGTGAGTTGTCTGGGCCCCTGGTGTCAGGGAGAAATATGGCAGCATAAGCAGAGATGAAGCTCTGCCGGGCGTGGTGGTGCACACCTGTAATCCCATCACTCGGGAGGCTGAGGCAGGAGGACCGTTGTGAGGCCAGCCTGGGCTACAAAGTGAGCTCAAGGCCAGCCTGAACTGCATAGCAAGACCTTGTCTCAAAAAGCCAAAAAAAAAAAAAAGAAGGGATGAAGCCCCATAGCGGGGTTGCAGCCTAAGGCTCAGCCCTCACCTGATGCCTTGCCTCCTTCTCACCTTCCCAGGGCACCAACATTGCGGCCGGCAAGGCCTTGGGGATCGTGGCCACCACCGGCGTGAACACCGAGATCGGGAAGATCCGTGACCAAATGGCTGCCACAGAGCAGGACAAGACCCCTCTGCAGCAGAAGCTCGATGAGTTCGGGGAGCAGCTCTCCAAGGTCATTTCCCTCATCTGCGTGGCCGTCTGGCTCATCAACATCGGCCACTTCAACGACCCCGTCCACGGGGGCTCCTGGTTCCGCGGTGCCATCTACTACTTTAAGATCGCTGTGGCCCTGGCTGTGGCTGCAATCCCGGAAGGTATGGCAGCCTGGTCTTCTCTGCCTACTTGCGAATCTCATCCGCAGGGACTTTCCCAGTGAGGTAGCACGAAAGCCTCAGGACCCGATGATATCTTTGGGGGCCGGAATCAGCGACCGGATCCCTCTTTCCCGCCTCGCTGTTCCCTCACGCCCTTCCCTGCCCACAGGTCTTCCCGCTGTCATCACCACCTGCCTGGCCCTGGGCACCCGCCGGATGGCGAAGAAGAATGCCATCGTGAGGAGCTTGCCCTCCGTGGAGACCCTCGGCTGCACATCTGTCATCTGCTCCGACAAGACTGGCACCCTCACCACCAACCAGATGTCAGTGTGCAAGGTCAGGAGCAGCACCGGGCGCTCCTGGTCAGGAGCCTCCAAAGATGGGGTTTTCCTTTCATCAGCGGCAGCTTCTCCAGCTGCCCAGGAAAATGCTCAAGGGCAGACAGAGCCCCCCGCCCCATTCCCCTATGAAAGAGCTTGGCCAGACCGCTCACTGCAGTCACAGTTCCTGTGCCGGACTCAGCCATGGGCTCTCTCTGACCCTCTGTGTCAGTGCTTTCAGGGGACAGCCTCCTTAGCGCCATTTTCAGAGGAGGAATCGGGCCCTGGATGATTCAGCGGCTTGTCCAAAGATGCGCAGTGAATGGGCAGCTGAGCCAGGCGTGATGGCTGGCACCTGTGGTCCCAGCTATGCCAGAGGCTTGGGCAGGATCACTTGAGTCCAGGAGCCTGGATAATGTAGCAAAACTCCATCTCAGAAAGAAGGTGGCAGGATTCTTTAAAATTTTTTATTTTGCGGTAGGGTCTCACCAAATTGCTAAAGGGCCCAGGCTGGCTCAAAATTGTGATCCTCACCTGGCTTATACAATAATTTAAGTATGTAAAATAAAACACGTAAGATTTTTTTTTTTTTTGGTTTTTCTCCGGTACCGGGAACCGAACTCACGACCTTGCGCTTGCTAGGCAGGCACTTTGCCGCTGAGCTAAATCCCCAGCCCCCAACACGTAAGATTTTGTTTCAAAAACAAGAAGGGCCAGGCATGATGGCACACGCCGGTTTTCCCAGCACTCAGGAGGCTGAGGCATGAGGCTCTCTGCAAGTTTGAAGCCAGCCTGGACTACATAGTAAGTTCAAGGCCAGCCTGAAATATATAGTGGAACTTTGCCTCAAAAAACTCAAAAGATAATTAATAAATTGATAAAATAAAACGTAGGAAGGACCGGGGGTATAGCTCAGTGGTAGAGCTCTTGCTTGGCATATTAAATACCCCAGGTTCAATCCCTAGCACACACCCCTAATAATAATTATAAGAATAGGAAAATACACAGAATTATAAAAGCAGTTGATGATTGAAATACAGTTGTCAAAGTGTTTTGAAAACAAGTATGTATTTTAGTAGCGTATGTGTCTTTTTTGTTGTTGTTGTTTTTTGGTATCAGGAATCGAACTCAGGACCTTGTGCTTGCCAGGCAGGTGCTTGTGCCACTGAGCTATATCCCCAGCCCTTATATGTGTGCTTGTTAATGCATTAAATGATGAGTTCTAGCAGTTGGTCTAGAAATTATCATAATGTTGAAGCAGTGGTGAGTGCGAATGATGCCCTTTTAGCTGCAACAATGGCAGTGGGACGCGAAAGTGTCTGTGATTATATTGGTGACAGAATCACAGATTTGTTTTTTGCTTGCTTTTTTTTAAAGACATGGTCTCACTGTGTTGCCCAGCCTGCTCTTTTTTTTTCTTTTTTTCTTTTTTTTTTTTTTTTGAGACAGGGTCTCACTATGCAGTTCAGGCTGGCCTTGAGCTCACTTTGTAGCCCAGGCTGGTCTTGAACTCACAACGATCCTCCTGCCTCAGCCTCCCGAGTGCTGGGATTACAAGCGTGCGCCACCATGACCGGCTCCAGGCTGCTCTTGAACTCCTGGGCTCAAATGGTCCTTCTCTCTCAGCCTTTGGAATAGCTGGGACAATAGGTTCAGGCCACCATGCCCAGCTCAAAGTCATCGGTTTTGCTGCAAATATAGTCTGTTGACTACATTCATAACTGGAAGGAACCCAGGCCCGGTGATGCCTGCCTATAACTCCAGCACTCTGGGAGGCAGAGGCAGGAGGATTGAAAGTTCAAGCCCAAGCCAGGGGTAGTAGCACATACTTGTAATTCCAGGACTCGGTAGGCTGAGGCAGGAGGATTACTGTGATTTCTAGCTTGAACTACCTAGTGAATTCTAGACCAGTCTGAACTACATATCGAGATCTTGTCTCAAAAATCAAGCAAGTAAGCAAGCAAACAAGCAATCATGAAAGTTCAAGTCCAGCCGGGGCAATGTAGCAAAACCCTGTCTCAAAATAAGAATTTAAAAAGGAGGTGAGGATGTGGCGCAGTGCAGATTCCCTGGATTCAGTCCCCAGCACCCACCCCTTCTCACAAACTGGAAGGAAATGCTAAATGTCAGAGAAAAAAATAAAGATGTAGCTTTTTGGCCATCTGTGCTCATGGACTCGAGAGTGTGTCCATGGACCGCAGGTAGAGAACCTCTGCCCTGAACAGTTTTAAGGGTTAGCGTTCCATGAAATATAAATCGCTGCTCTGTGGAACTGGGGGAGGGGTGTGGCTCCATGGCAGAGTTCATGGTTAGCATGTTCAGGGTCTTGGGTTCAGTCCCCAGCATCACAGAGAATTCCTGCTTGGAGGAGTGAGGGGTGTGTAATCAGACCAGCAAGAAAAGCAATACCCATGACTACCTGGGAGACCCACAAGGGTCCTGTGGGTATTTAAAGTCTTAGAGAAAGCTGATGGTGAATGCAACGGGTTCCACTTTTTTTGTGGAAAATTTTCTCCATTTAAGTGTAGAACCCCTCTTTTTTTCTTACTCTTTCTTCTTTTCCTTTTTCTCTTCCTTTCTCTCTCCCTCTCTCTGTCCCTCTATCCATCCCTCCCTGTCTCTCTCTCTCTTTCTCTCTCTCTCTTTCTTTTGACAGTCTCACTATGTAGTTCAAGATAGCCTTGTCTCACTGTGTAGCCCTGCAGTCCTCCTGCCTCAGCCTCCCAAGTGCTGGGATCACAGGCGTGTACCACCACACCCAGCTCAAACCTGACCTAGAATGTGATTTAACCATTTCTCTTCTTGGGAATGAGAAGTCCAGTCTCGTTGTGCTTGCTCTGGGATGGGCAAAGGGGCGGCTGCCTGCAGGGCATCTGTTCTCTCTTTTTTTTTTGGTCTTTTTTGAGACAGGGTCTCACTATGCAGTTCAGGCTGGCCTTGAGCTCACTTTGTAACCCAGGCTGGTCTCGAACTTGTAAAGATCCTCCTGCCTCAGCCTCCCGAGTGCTGGGATTACAGGCGTGCGCTACGACGCCGGCAGGGCATCTGTTCTCTAACAGCCATGCAGTGCCCAGGTTCCAAAGCCAGACCCCATGCCTTCCAGAGAGAGGATCCTGTCCTCTTTTCTGAAAGTGAATTAACCACCCACATTTGAAAGACAAGCGATTTTACAGGCAAATAACCTGGACGTCTAGTCCTTCCTATGAAACGGGAAGATCTGGCCACAGTCGGGCAGAGGGAGCCGTGGGTGGGCCGGGTGCTGACAGGCAGACTTAGCCACAGTCCCCACTGCACCTTATGGAGCACATCGTATTAGCTGACCTAAGGCAGCCCCAGCATGGCCTGCAGAAACTTTTGTTTCTGCACTTCCACAGACCATGCAGAATGGTTGGGAAGGGGCGCCCAAAGAAAGGCGAGTCGGGGGAGCTGCAGGGAGCTTGCTTAGGCTGGCTGCGGGTCCGGGCGAGTGGACGGCAGGCGGGCGGGCCTCCCTCGTGCGGATGGCCGCCTTCAGGGGCGGGGAGAGCTGGACAGCGTGTGCCTGCCCTTCTTCCCCGCAGATGTTCATCATCGACAAAGTGGACGGGGACATCTGCCTGCTGAACGAGTTCTCCATCACCGGCTCCACCTACGCTCCCGAGGGAGAGGTGTAAGTGCCCGGAAGCCCTGGCCCAGCGCCTCTCACTGCCCGCGTCTCTCCCTGCCTCTCCCCACCTGGTTCTGACCCTTGACCTCCCAGCTCGTCCTGTCTGTCCCTCCTGAACCCTGCTCTCTGCTGCCCTGGGCATCTCTGCATCTCACTTCGTTCTTCTCCACTGTCTCTCTGCTTCCCTCCTCCCACCCTGCGGCCAGCTTGAAGAATGATAAGCCAGTGCGGGCAGGGCAGTATGATGGGCTGGTGGAGCTGGCCACCATTTGTGCCCTGTGCAATGACTCCTCCCTGGACTTCAACGAGGTACCCTCCCACCCCACAGCCGCCCCTTTCCCTTCCCGCGCCTCGACCCTGCGCCTCCGCGTCACGGGAGGAAGTGGCGTAGGGAGGAGGCCAGGGGAGTGGTTGGCTCCCTTCCTGCACCATCCAGGTGGAAGGTGGGCGTGGGCGAGGGGCGAGGAGCCAGGCACCCACTTCCTCTGCGTCCTCTGCCCCCTCAGGCCAAAGGGGTCTATGAGAAGGTCGGCGAGGCCACGGAGACGGCGCTCACCACCCTGGTGGAGAAGATGAACGTGTTTAACACTGAAGTGAGGAGCCTCTCGAAGGTGGAGAGGGCCAATGCGTGCAACTCGGTGAGTCCAGGCCCGCTGCGGAGCGTTCACCTCTGGTCACACCGCCAGCACCCAAGTAACGCGGGCCGGGCAGGGCCTGGTGCCCCAGCTGTGACCCCAGCCCTTGCAGCTGGCTGGCCTCACCAGCAGCTTCCCCTGGCCAGGCTGATTTCTGCTGGGACCCACCGTCCCTGCAGTGACAAGCTGCTTCTGCGGCCTGCTTCCTGTTGTGTGCCAGGTTGTGCTGGACAGAGCTGGGTGCAGAAACCGACAAGCCCTGTGTCTACAGAAGCACACTCGTTTCCGTCAGATCTCAGCTCTGAGTTAGGGCTGGGGACACTGGCCACTGCGCTAACAGGGCAGGGAACAAGGCCAGTTCTGTTACCCTCACTCTGAGCGCTTACTCACATTGGCTGAATTTCTAGATTGAGTTTCTCTGGGGTGTTACATTCCTTCCATTTCTTCTCCTTCATGGGGTGCTGGGGATGGACCCCAAGGACTCAGGCCTGCTAGGAAATCCTGTTTTGTTTTGTATGTGCAAGGTGCTTATCACTGCTTTATTGAATCTAACACAAAGACAAAAGTGAGCTGGACACGGCGGCGCACGCCTATAATCCCAGCTATTCGAGTGGCTGAGGCAGGAGGGTTCAAGTTTGAGGCCACCATGAGCAATTTAGAGAGACCCTGTCCCAAAACAAAAAATAAAAGGGGCTGGGCCGGGGGTGGTGGCATATGCCTGTCATCCCAGCACTTGGGAGGCTGAGGCAGGAAGATTGTTGTGAGTATGAGACCAGCCTGGACTACAAAGTGAGCTCAAGGCCAGCCTGAACTGCACAGCAAGACTCTGTCTCAAAAAAGACAAATAAATAAATAAAAGGGGCTGGGACTGCAATTCAGCGGTAGAGCCTTACATGTACAAGGCACTGTGTTCCATCTCTAGTGCTGGAAAGGAAGGAAGGAAAAAGAAGGAAGGAAAGCAAGCAAAGCTAAATATTTATCAAGAAAGAATCTTTTAGAATTTACAAATGGTAATATAAATTCACTTTTTAGTTTATTAATATATGTCTATAGTATATAATGTTTGCATTCCTTGTGGGAAGTTGGTACATCTACATAACACATCTTAGGAATTAAATTTATTTTTATTTTTATTTTTATTTTTAATTTTTATTTTGTGGAAAAATGCCCATGATACATTTGATGAAAAAAGGCTTTCTTTTCTTTTTAAGTCAGGGCCTTTGCGTGGAGCTACATCCCAGACTGTTTTTATTTTTTATTTTGAGGAGTCTTGCTAAAGCCACTAAGTTGCCCAGGCTGGGCTCAAACCTGTAGTCCTCCTGCCTCAGCCTCCCAGAATGTGAAGATTACAGGCCCGTGCTACCACCACGCCTGACTTAGAGCACTTTTCACTGCAGTGCCAGGCACTAGGCCTGTACCATCTGACAATACTATACATGTAATTTTTTTTTTTTGAGACAGGGTCTCACTGTGCAGTTCAGGCTGGCCTTGCACTCACTTAGGTAGCCCAGACTGGCCTCCAATTCCTGCCTTAGTCTCCCGAGGGCTGGGATTACAGGCGTGTGCCACCACGCCCGGCTGTATATGTAGTTATTTCATTTAAATTAATTAAAATTCAATATTGGTAAAAATGCAGTTCTCCAGTCACCCTGGCCATGTTTCCAGGGCTCCCTTACACCTTCTCGGCCAGTGCAGGTTACAGATCTGTCATCACAGAGGGCTCCACGGGACAGGGCCACACAGGCCTTCCTGCCTGTGGTGTTTGAAGGACACCGTAGCTCTGTGACTGCACTAGAATTGGAATTCCTCCGTCCACACTGTGTCGCCGGACTTACTTTTAGTCTGTCTCTCTCGGGGCCCACTCTGGCCCCCAGATCTTTCTGACTGTTTGGAGGGGCCTGACCTGTCCTCCCGGTCTCCCCTCCCCCAGGTCATCCGGCAGCTGATGAAGAAGGAGTTCACCCTGGAGTTCTCCCGAGACAGGAAGTCCATGTCTGTCTACTGCTCCCCCGCCAAGTCTTCCCGGGCTGCTGTGGGCAACAAGATGTTCGTCAAGGTCAGAAATCGGAGTGGGCCTCCACCCGCTTTCCTCCCTGCCGCTGGGCCCTGTCCTCTGCCTGCCCCTCTCACCGCCCCTCAGGAGGCGGCCTCTGTTCTGGTCCCCTAGGGCGCCCCCGAGGGGGTCATCGACCGCTGTAACTACGTGCGCGTGGGCACCACCCGGGTGCCACTGACCGGCCCCGTGAAGGAGAAGATCATGGCGGTGATCAAGGAGTGGGGCACCGGCCGGGACACCCTGCGCTGCCTGGCCCTAGCCACCCGTGACACGCCCCCCAAGCGAGAGGAGATGATCCTGGATGACTCCTCCAAGTTCATGGAGTACGAGGTGAGCGGGCGGAACCCCCCGCTGGCCTGGCGTGTGTGAGGAGGCCGCTTCTCTGTGGCCGCCTCATGCCCTCCTTCCGCCACCTGCCATTTCCCACTTCCTCAGTCAGCCTGCAGTGTGGGTCACGTTAGCGTCTGAAAGAGCCTCAGGAACTGCCTGGCCCGGAGCTACTTTATTTTTATTTCCGCGTGATGCCGGGTGTGGCCCCCAGGCCCTTGCACATGCTAAGCATACACACTGTACACGCTGTACCACTGAGCTGCACCCCCCGCCCCCGAAGCTGCTCTGTGACGAAACGAGGCTCTCGTCGCTCTGAACGCAGTGGGACACGGCTGGCCTTATTCGTGCAGCGAGGCTGCCCTGAGGCAGTGGTGTTGTCCTGGACACTGACCAGCACAAAAGCCCACTGCCTTCATTACAGAGAGGGGGCATTAGGGCCCGGCAGGTCACACGGATGTGCTTAACGTTGGGCCGAGTGATGGGGCTGCCAAAAGCAGAAGCCACTGCTCTGACTTCCAGCTCACAGGGTTCTATGAAAGGTACACTCTGGCATTTGCAGCAAGCCTGGCCCTGCCAGGATCTACAGATACCTGTAGGAACGAGAAACACTTCTGAGCCGGGCGTGGTGGTGCACACCTGTAATCCCAGCACTCAGGAGACTGACGCAGGAGGATCCTTGCAAGTTTGAGGCCAGCCTGGGCTACAAAGTGAGCTCAAGGCCAGCCTGAACTGCACAGTGAGACCCTGTCTCAAAAAGATGAAAAAAAAAAGAGAGAAACACTTCTGATGCCATTGAGGTCCAACATCAGGCCCCGAAGCTACAAACCCCAGCCCCTGACATTTCTCCCTGCCCCCAGCTTCCACCCCGCCTCATTTCCGAGTACCTTCCTGACCTGTGGCTGTCTGCTGTCTCCCCAGACGGACCTGACATTCGTTGGTGTGGTGGGCATGCTGGACCCGCCACGCAAGGAGGTCACAGGCTCCATCCAGCTGTGCCGCGACGCTGGCATCCGGGTGATCATGATCACTGGAGACAACAAGGGCACAGCCATTGCCATCTGCCGACGAATTGGCATCTTTTCAGAGAGCGAGGAGGTGGCTGACCGCGCCTACACAGGCCGGGAGTTCGACGACCTGCCTCTGGGCGAGCAGCGGGAGGCCTGCCGCCGCGCCTGCTGCTTCGCCCGTGTGGAGCCCTCGCACAAGTCCAAGATCGTGGAGTACCTGCAGTCCTACGATGAGATCACGGCCATGGTGAGGAGGGCGAGCCGGCTGCCCGGGCTTGGGGCTGTCCTGGGTGTCCTCTGACAAGGCCCTCTTGGTGACATGGAGAGGGCATCAGGCTCTGGGGCGGTGTAGAACAGACCCCGAGCCCCACCTCCTTCTCCCCCCAGACAGGGGACGGTGTCAACGATGCCCCTGCCCTGAAGAAGGCTGAGATTGGCATTGCCATGGGATCCGGCACTGCTGTGGCCAAGACGGCCTCTGAGATGGTGCTGGCCGACGACAACTTCTCCACCATCGTGGCCGCCGTGGAGGAGGGCCGCGCCATCTACAACAATATGAAGCAGTTCATCCGCTACCTCATCTCCTCCAACGTGGGCGAGGTGGTCTGGTGAGCGGCCGGGGGCCAGCATGTGGGGAGGGGGGCGGGGGCTGGGCGGGGCGGCCAGGGCCTGGGCAGGACGGACGTGGGCTCCTCTCCTTCTGGCAGCATCTTCCTGACAGCTGCCTTGGGGCTGCCCGAGGCCCTGATCCCAGTGCAGCTGCTGTGGGTGAACTTGGTGACCGACGGGCTCCCGGCCACAGCCCTGGGCTTCAACCCACCAGACCTGGACATCATGGACCGACCCCCCCGAAGCCCTAAGGAGCCCCTCATCAGCGGCTGGCTGTTCTTCCGCTACATGGCCATAGGGGGTGAGCGGCACGGGGCTCCTTGGTCCTTCCCAGCCCTTGATCCCCCAAGATCCCAGCTCCCGCAGGGCGGCTGCCGCATGGCTTCTTGAGTCGGCTGACCCCAGCCACGACGCCTCCTGTCACCCCCGCTGACCCCAGCCCCACCTTCTGTCCACCACAGGTTACGTGGGTGCAGCCACTGTGGGAGCAGCTGCCTGGTGGTTCCTATATGCAGACGATGGCCCTCATGTCACCTACCACCAGCTGGTATGACGGTGGCGAGGTGGGCACCGGGAGGGTGGCATGGAGGTGTCCCCAGGATCTCAGGCTGCTGTTCCTTCCCCTGCAGACCCACTTCATGCAGTGCGCCCAGCACAACCCTGAATTTGATGGTCTGGACTGTGAGGTGTTTGAGGCCCCCGAGCCTATGACCATGGCCTTGTCTGTGCTGGTCACCATTGAGATGTGCAACGCTCTCAACAGGTAGGGCATGCCGCCCGCACCTGGTTCTCCTCCGCGGCCTGTGCCTTTGTCCTCGACCTCCTGCCTCCCTCCTCCCCTCACGCGCCTTTCTCCTCGTGTCCCCCCCTCGGTGCCGCGGCCTTCATGCAGCCTGTCTGAGAACCAGTCCCTGGTGCGGATGCCACCCTGGGTAAACATCTGGCTGCTGGGCTCCATCTGCCTGTCCATGTCCCTCCATTTCCTCATCCTCTATGTCGACCCTCTGCCGGTGAGCCTCCTTCTGCTTCCCCGAGCCCCCACATGTGCGGGCGGGGGGCACCCACGGGCTGGGGCAGCTGGACACCGGCTTGCTCTCCCCCTCCTCACGGCTGCCGTTCCGCGCCCCAGATGATCTTCAAGCTCCGGGCCCTGACCGTCACGCAGTGGCTCATGGTCCTCAAGATCTCGCTGCCTGTCATCGGGCTGGACGAAATCCTCAAGTTCATCGCCCGGAACTACCTGGAGGGTAAGGAGCACCCGCGCCCCTCCTCACTCAGGCACCCCTGCCCTCCCTGCGCCCGCCCCCAACCTTTTCCTTTGCAGGTGGGTAACCCCCGGCCCTGGCAGGACCACTGTCCCCACGGAGGGGCAGCGCAGGCCCTCCCCTCTCCTGCTGTGCCCGGGGGAGCTGTGCTCCCCAGGGTGGCCCGTAGCCTCCTCAGCCTTGTCGGCCCGCAGGCCGCCTTCCTCCTCGGTAACGGCTCTCTCTGTCCTCTCTGGCCATAGGATAACTGTTCCCCCTCCTCCATGTCTTTGAACCCGTGCCACAGGTATCACCCCCTTCTTGCCCTTGCCCCGGCTGCTGTGCCCTGCCACCCGCCACCTAGCTCTCCACGCAGCTGAAGTCACTTGCGCTCGCAGCTCCCCCTGGAGCCACTGCCGCTGCTGCCCCTGCCGCGCTTCCGCGGGGGTGGGCGGTGCGCTCGCCACGGCGCCAGCACCGCTGCCGTCCTCGCCGGCGGCCCCGCCTCCAGGCACAACCGCTGCGCTGCGCTGCGCGGCGCTCGCTGTCTCTGCTGCTGGGACTGCGGTGGGGGCGGGGGCGGGGGGCCGGGGACACAGGTGAGTGTGGGGAGGAAGGGCCTAGGGAAGCTCTCAGCCCCTCCTGCCCCCGCTTCAAAGCGCCCTTCTCTCCTTCCAGATCCAGAAGATGAAAGAAGGAAGTAACCAGCCCCTTCGCCCCTTCTCCCCCCATAGTGACGCATCTTCGGCCAGGGCTGTGGCACAGACCCCTCCCCGCCCCCCCAGGTTCCTGTTTATAAATACGAGGTTCCCTTCCCTGCCCCCACTTCGGCAACCCGCCCTCCCTCTCACCCGTGGCCCACCCTCCCCAGACCCCGTGGGGCTCGCAGGGACAAGGCGACTGAGCTGAGCTGCTTATTTATTGACAATAAACGACAGAAAGTCTGGCCTGCCTCCGTGCACATCTTGAGCCTGTGAACCAGCGTCTTAGTGTCATGCAGTCCAAAAAGCAGCTGCCTGTCGCAGGGCGCTCTTAAGAGAACCGCCGGATGTTTAAGAGGCTTCCGGCCACCAGTGCGGCTGTTGCTGGGGGCTGGGGCGTGTGTGCTGAGCCTGGGGGCTGCAGGGTCAACCTGCACCTTTGGTTCCGGGAGGGGCTTGGGACCCTCACCCAGGTGTCATCCCTGAGAGCAGAAGGCCCGGCCACCCCGGGAGGAGGCGCTGGGCAGTGGCGGCCTGGCCCCTCAAGCTGGGCTGCGGGGGCAAGGACGCCATCAGGACCCCGATGCCTCCCGCTTCTGTAGTGGAGAAAGGCTGTCCTGCCCAGGACGCTGGGAGTGGGGTGGGGCTCCTCGCCTGGCCCCTCACGTGTCCTTGATGTCCCTGACGTCCCTCAGGGGCACCTCATCCGTGATGCCACGCACTTGCTCCAGGGTCTCTGCCTGGCGGACCCGCTCCAGGCGCACCTGTGGGGTCCCGAGAGGGAGGTGGAGGGCCCCTGGTGCAGAAAGGTGGCCCTACCCCAGCTGGTGGCCCCTGAGGGCAAGCCCCAGGGCCACCTCCCTCCCACGACCCGTGGGGAAATCAGGGTCCAGGGCAGGAGTGGGTGCCGGGAGCAAACCCCGGGCAGTCCGGGTGTGGCTGGCCCCCTGCAGGCCTGTACTAAGGTTGCTGTGGGACTGTCCAACATGCACACGAAAGAGCTTTGACCTTCCCTGAGCTACAGCTCTGAGGGAAGGGCCATGCTCACTGTAGAAGGAAAGGAACCCCCTAACTGGAAGGCCACCCTTGCACAAGCGTCACAGGGAGCCTGTGGGAGGGGCCGCACTGTACCTGCAGGGCTTGGGACAGCCGGACGAAATCCCTCTGCACCTGCTCGCTGGTCTCCAGCTCAGCCTGCAGCCGCAGCACCTTGGCCTTCTGTTCAGCGAGGAGGTCTGTGCGCTGGGCCTGTGGGACAGGGTGTCAGGCTGGAGCCTGGCACAGGCTGGCCTAGATGGGACAGGGTGTGGCCGCAGCAGTGGGAAGTCCCCACTGCTGCCAGTTCGCCGCCCAGCGCTGACCTCCTCTGTCCTGCTGGAGCCAGGAGGCTGCCTCAGGCCTTCCTACCGCCTGGCCTGCGGGAGATGGAGGCTGGGAAAGGCCGGCTGGGGTCTTCACACAGCCACACTGCCCCGTGCCCTCCCAGCCAGGACTGGGCTCCACCTCACCTTGCTCTGTTCCTGCTGGATCCGCTCCATCTCCGTCCTCAGGCTGCACAGGGAGGCTGGAAGTCAGGCGCAAGGGGGCCGGAAGTCAGGCCCACTCAGGTTCATGCCCACGGAGCAGGCCCCAGGCAGGGCTGGCCCATACTCACCCTCTAACACCTCTGTAGGGAGGAAGCAGAGAGGTCACAGCTGGTTCTCGCACTGTGCCCCTCGCCTCGCCCAGGCCTACGTGTCCCTGTGGGGTTGTCAGGCAGCCTGGCAGCAGGTTAGGTGGCTCGACCCCTTCCCTCTTGCCTCACCTGTCTCCTCCCGCTGCATGCGCAGCTGGCCCTCCAGGCTGGCCCTGGCTGCAGTCTCCTCCTCCAGCGCCTCCCGCAGCGTCACAATCTCGATCCGCAGGCGCTCGGCCTCGTGCTCCTGGGCCTGCTGTCGGGCATGCGCTTCCTGCTGTGTGCGGTGCAACAGCTGCTGCAGCTCCTGGAAAGGACGAGAGTCACCTGCTGGGCACAAGGAGCAGGAGGGCAGGTGGGGAGGCCCGGGAAGAAGGAAACTGCTGAAATAGGAAGGGTAGGTGGTACACGCCTGTAATCCCGGCACTCGGGAGGCTGAGGCAGGAGGATCATTCCAAATTTGAGACCAGCCTGGGCTACAAAGTGAGCGCAAGGCCAGCCTGAACTGCACAGCGAGACCTTGTCTCCAAAAGACAAAAAACAAAACAAAACAAAACAAAACAACTCAAAGCTCTCACATCACTGAAAAATAGCAAACAAATCCGTGCTTCTCTGGGGTCAGGCATTCTGCTGACCCTTTCTCTCGCCGTGCTGACACTGGGAGATGCACGGTCTCATTCTCGGATGAGGAAGTGGGCCTTACAGCAGTTGGTGGAGTTGGCCAAGGTGAAATAGCTACTGTGACGTAGGCCCGCTGTGGTCCCCAGGCCCGTGGTCTTGGCCTGCGCTCCACTCTGCCTGGTGGGAAGGGTGGACAGGACGGCCCATGCCCCACTCACCTGCACTGAGCCAGGCAGCACCTCCTTCTCGCCCTCGAGCTGCTCCTGGCCCTGGGGGGCTGCAGGCAGCGGCTGCTCGGCTCGGAGCCCCTGGTTCTCCTCGTTCAGCCGCTTTACCTCATGGCGCAGGCACTTGTGGGAGGTGGCCAGCTCCGCCTGCGGACAGAGAGCAGCACCAGGCAAGGAGGGGACTGACAGCCCGCAAGCCCTCACCCAGTCCGCTGGGACAGGCAGAAAGCCTCCTTGTTGCCTGTTTGTTTGGTTTTTTTTTTGCCTTTTTTGAGACACGGTCTCAGTATGCAGTTGAGGCTGGCCTTGTGCTCACTTTGTAGCCCAGGCTGGTCTCAAGCTCGAGATCCTCCTGCCTCAGCCTCCCCAGTGCTGGGATTACAGGTGTGTGCCACCACGCCCGGCTTGTTGCCTGTCTTTGCCTTCAACTCTGGACACCCTCCCCACTGACTCAGGAGCAGTGGCAGCCGAGCCATGTTGGGTATTTTATTTGGTCCACATACTTTTAAAAACTAATTTAAAAAAACCTAATTAAAGTAGTTATTTAATTTATTAACTGTGGTACTGGGGGTTGAACCCAGGGCCTCATGCATGCTAGGCAAGTGCTCTACCACTGAGTTATATCCCCAACCCTTTTTAAATTTTGAACCAGGATCTTTCTGAATTGCCCAAGCTGGCCTTGAACTTGAGATCCTACTGTCTCAGCCTCTTAAACCCCTGGGATTACAGGCATACCTCATCATTTGAGCCTGGGCACTTTGGTGGGGTTGTTTGGTTTATTCTAGTTTTCTGAGATAGGGTCTCACTATGCAGTTTACAGTGGCCTTGAACTCATTACGTAGCCTGGCCTGGGCTCAGATTTGTGGTGATCCTCCTGCCTCAGCCTCCTGAATGCTGGGATTACAGGTGTGTGCCACTATGCCTGGTGATTTCTGGATTCTCTTGAAAAAAAATCAGAATATATACGTGGGTGTGATAGCACACAGCCAGCACTTGGGAGGCTGAGGAAGGAAGACTGCTTGGAATTCCAGGCCAGCCTGGGTTATACAGTGAAACCCTGTCTCAAAAACAGAAATAAAAACAAACAAAAAGGAAAATCTGAGTATCTGGCTGCTTAGAGCCAGCATTCCTGGGCAGGAGGGGTCAGAGCCGCGAAGGGTAGCAGCCACTGGCACAGGCCCCTTGCGCCCTCTGCTCCCCTCTGCCTCACACTGGGCCCCTCCCGTGTTTACTGCCGCCTGGGCCCTGGGAAGTATCTGACTTGCTCCCAAGCACCATGACTGCAGGGTTGTAGGGTTAGTTCAAGATCACGCAGTTCTGGCCGGCCCGGCTGCCCCAAAGCCTCTCCCTAGCTGGCACTGAAGCCATGGGGACGCCAGAGCAGCTGCGGCAGGAAAGGTGCCTGGCTTTTCCGGCCGCCTCCCTCTGCCTGCACCCCGAGCGCTCACCATCTGCAGCTGCACCCGCTCCTGCGCCTGGCTCACGGTGCCCTGCAGGGTCCGCAGCAGCTGCTCCGAGTTCTGGACCTGGGCCAGCAGCACTTGCATCTGCGGGTGGGAGGCCGGCGTGGTGAGGCCAGGGGACCCTGGGGGCCGGTGGCACTCGGGCCCTACAGGGCTGAGCAGACGCCCGGACCCACCTGCTTGGCGCAGTCTTCGTTGCTGCGTCTCAGCCCCTCTTGCAGCTCATCCCGCTCGCGGCTGACGCTTTCCAGGTCCTGCTGCAGCTGCCGGCCCTGCAAGGACCCGCGCTCAAGCCCCATCGGCAAGGGGCCTTCCCTCCTTCGCAGGCTTGAGCACACATGTCCTCAGCCGGAGGCCAGCCATCAGGCCGGCTTTTCCCTTTGCTCCCCCGCTCCCCCCACGAGCCCTGCCCACCTTCCTCCCAAGCGGCTTCCAAACCCACCTGCCTCTTTCCGTCTCTGCTGCCACCTCCTGGTCTAGACACCACCTTCTCTCTTTGGGCAGTGGTAGGAGGAATTGAACCCAGGGCCTGCACACTGAGCTGTACCCCCAGCATCCCTTTTCATTTTGAGACTGGGTCTCACTAAGTTGCCAAGTTGCCCAGGCTGAGCTCAGACTTGCCATCCTCCTGCCTCAGCCTCCCGGAGTACTAGATGACCTTCCAAACTACAGTCCCAATGGGTCACTCGGCTTCCCCCACCATCCCGTTCCCCCCAGCCTGTCCTTCCACAGAGGCCGGAGCGCGGCAGGCCTCTCCCCACCTACCTGCACACGCTTCTCCCTCCCCAGAACCCCTTCTCCTTCCTGTGGCTTCCCCAGCACTAGCCCCAGCCCCGCCTAGGCAGGTCCGACAGGCCTGCTGCTGGCAGCCTCCCCCTCTACCACGCACCTCCACCTGCAGCTGCTCCCACTGGGCGTCCGGGACAAGCTGGTAGCCGGGAGGGGGTAGGTAGATGCCCTCAGGGACCAGGGTCCCGGTGGACACCAGAGAGGCTGTCTCTTCCTGCTCGGGGCTCAGGCCCCGGCGGCCACGGGGCAGGGAGGCGCTGCTGCCTGCCCCGCCCAGGGAGAAGGAGGAGATGGAGGCGCTGTCGTCACAGTTGTGGGCAAAGGCCTCGGCTGCTGGGCCCCCACTCAGCTCCTCCAGGGGCTCCAGTGGGGGAGACGGGTTTCGGGAAAGGGACAATAACTCTGCGGAGCCGTGCAGGGAAGGCGGGGGCGGAGGCCGTCCCTAGGGGAGGGCACAGAGAAGAGGCTGGGGCCAGGGTGCTGCGGCGCCCCGGCCATGCCCGCAGCCCCCGGGCTGCCCCTCACCTGGATCTCCTGGATCAGCTCCTCTGCTTTCAGCAGCTTCGCCTTGAGCTCCGCGATCTCCTGCTCCATGGGCAGCACGATCTCCCGCAGCTTCTCCGAGTCCTCGTGGGCCTGGAGGGACGGGGTTGGGCAGCAACTGTCCCCACCTGGCTGCCACACTCTCAGCCTCGGCCGGCTCCTGAGCCTCCCAGCTCTTCGGGGCAGGAAGCAGGTGGGTAAAGAGGAGCAGGGCACAGCTATCTTCCTGCTGCTCTGCTTCCTCACCACACCTTTCTGCCCTTACATCCATGCTTTCGATTGCAGAACTTCACATTTTTAACTAGGTACATGGCCTAAATTCTACACCACCATTCACATTTCTCAGCTTCCCTGCAACTACACAGCATTACACAACTCAGTTCTAAGCTGGGTGTGGTGGCGCACGCCTATAACTCCAGCACTCGGGAGGCTGAGGCAGGAGGATCGCTGTGAGTTCAAGACCAGTGTGGGCTACAAAGTGAGCTCAAGGCCAGCCTGAACTGCATAAGGAGACCCTGTCTCAAAAAGACAAAAAAAAAAAACAAAAAAACCCAACTCAGTTCCAGCTCATGATGTAGAAACAGATGTGCCAAGTGTGAAATTCCAGGGTAACTCTGTAAAGGAAGAGGGTGTGCCCTTCTTTATGCCTTCTTGCAGGCTAGAGTGTGGACATGATGGCTGGCACTCAAGCAGTCATCTCAGACCATGAGACAGTCCGCTACCTATAGCAAAATAGCTGTATAGGAGGCGCCTGGGCTCCTCATGGTTTGTTCAGCTGCTGTACCAGTGTTGACATTAAGAAAATCAAACCTTCGTCCTATTTAAGCCACTGCTAATTTGGGTTTTCATTCACATGCAGGCAAACCTCATCCCGACTGCTATGTCCTTCCACACTCCCATCGCAATCAGGAGACTACCATTTCCTTCCTGTCCTTCCAAGCTTGGGATCCTGCTGAACTGGTAGAGATAACAGCATTGGGACACCTCTGCTCAGCTCCTCACGCCTAACGCAGCCAAAACGGGCCCTGCTCACGGACCCTGCTCCTCCTGTCACACGCAAGAGCACCCCTGCCAACTACCCAAGTACCCAAGGCAAAAAAACGGCCAGTCACCCCCTCTCGTCCCACTCTCTTCCAGGCGTTTCCCCCACCTGAGTCTCTTCCCGCACAAGCTCAGCCTAAGGGTCCGCATTTCTCCTTCACTCCCCCTTTTACGTACTGGGGAGCAAACTCAGGGAATGGTGGGCTGCACCCCCAGCCCTTGTTTAATTTTGAGATAGGGTCTTGCTACATCGCCAAGTTGCCTAACCTGGGCTTGAACTTGTGATCCTCCTGCCTCAGCCTGTGGAGTAGCTGAGATCACAGGCATGTGCCACTGCATTCGCATCACTAGTGCCGTTAATGACAGCGGCAATAGTAAAAGAGGCTATATGCCATAAAGACGAAGAAGAAAAACTTTGGAAACACTCTGCTAGATTTTGCAAACCTAACTCCACTCCTTTTTACCTGTACAAGTTGAGATTATTTTATTTATTATTATTATTATTATTATTATTACTATTGTATTTTTAAGACAGGGTCTTGAGGGGCTGGGGTTTTAGCTTAGCAGCACAGCACCTACCTGGTAAGCGCCAGGTCATGAGTTCAATTCCCGGTACCGGAAAACACAAAACAAAACACAAAAAAAGACAGGGTCTTGCTATCCAGTTCAGGTTGGCCTTGAACTCACTTTGTAGCCCCACTGGCCTCAAACTCAAACGATCCTCCTGCCTCAGCCATTATTATTATTATAGTCTTTTTAAGACAGGGTCTTGCTATCCAGTTCAGGTTGGCCTTGAACTCACTTTGTAGCCCCACTGGCCTCAAACTCAAACGATCCTCCTGCCTCAGCCATTATTATTATTATAGTCTTTTTAAGACAGGGTCTTGCTATCCAGTTCAGGCTGGCCTTGAACTCACCTTGTAGCTCTGGCTGGCCTCAAACTCAAACAATCCTCCTGCTTCAGCCTCCTGAGTGCTGGGATTACAGGCATGTGCCACCATGCCCAGCAATTTTATTTTTTGAGACACGGTTTCATTGTGTAGTTCAAGCTGGCCTGGAACTCACTCTGTTCCAAGGCCCAGGGTAGCCTTGAACTCCCAGCAATTCCCCTGCCTCAGCCTCCTGAGTGCTGGGATTACAGGTGTGTGTTACCACACCCGGCTCACAAACTGAGACTCTAAATCTCACCATGCCCATCTGTTCAGTGTCCTGCCAGCGCACCTGAGCAGGGCAAAGATGGGGAGGGCTTAAGCACTCAGCACAGTGCCTGGCATGGGAGACCACTGCAAGTGCTGGTCTCCTCCCCCCACATGACGGATCTTGCTTGTGGAGGTGATCACACTTGGTCACACAGCCCTCACCCAGGAGCAGAGCGCACGGGATCTTCACCAAGCACAGTAATTACTCAGCTTCTTGCACCCAAGACTGGGGATGGGCCCCCAACAGTACGCAACATCACTGCAAGCGCAGGGGCGGGGCAGGCCATCCAACCCTACCTTCTCCATCTCCTTCTCCAGGGAGTCCAGCGGGTGGGCCCGGGCCAGCAGCTGCTGCAGGCGGCTCAGCTCCCGCTCCTTGTCCTCACAGTCCTGCTGCTGCTGCTGTCGCTCCTGCTTCAGGGCTGCGATCTGGGCTTCGTAGCTGCTGATGGAGTCTGCGGGGCAGAGGGGTGGGCTCTTGTGCACTGCCTCTCCGCAAGGGCTCTGCAGAGGGGCACCGCACGGGCTCTGCACAGCCTCAGACTGGCCCTGGGGCTCTCTGCTACTGGGAGGTTACTGGATCAATTTAGAGGACAGCAGCAAAGGGGTTCGGCCCTCTCCTCGTACGTAAGAAGGCCCAACCAGACAGTCTGCCTCGCAGATATATTCAACTGAAGAATTGTCCACTGGATATTTATACTAAAACACACTAAAAGTTGAAACATCAATTAATTAATTTTTGAAACAAGGTCTTGCTAAGTTGTCCAGGCTAGTCTTGTACTTGTGATTCTCCTGCCTCAGCCTCCTGAGTAGCTGGGATGACAGAGATGCATCCTTATGCCAGGCTCAGGACATCATTTCAGCTAGCAGGAAACTGTTCTGATCTACACAGGGAGAAGGAACTGAAAACAGTGTCCAAATCTATCGCACCACAGGAACTCAGCCAAATACAGGTCCCACACAGTGCCAAGGGCTGAGCCAGCTTAGAAGCTGGGGTCACGGCAGTTAACCTGGGCTTGCAGGAAGCCAAAAAGAGGCTGAGCGCCATGACGTACAGCATGTGGGTCGGAGAGCATGGTAAAACCAGGACGAAGGCTGGGGATGTGGCTCAGTGGTACAGTGCTTACCTAGTATGTTCAAGGCCCTGAGTTCAATCCCCAGGACCCGCCCCCGCAAATAGCAGGATGAATTAGGCCTTGCAAGGCAAGAAGCCAAGTTTGGGTAGAATGCCAAATTGCTAACAATTCCCAAATAACCGACAGTTGGCTAAAGGGCAGTGCCTAGGACACCAAAAGCCCTGTTTGCCCCTCTGGAGGACAGTCACAATGACACTTGATTTTGTGGTTGAAACAGTACCAGACTAGCACATAATAACCTGGAAAAGCAAACTGTTTCAGATATAATGCTTGCATACTTCGTGACAGAAATTGTAGGCATCTAGCCAGGTGTGGTGGCACACCTGCAATCCCAGGTACTTGGGAGGCTGGAGGCCAGCCTGGGCTACAGAGTGAGACCCGGTCTGAAAATAATAAAAGGGCTGAGGATGGAGCTCAGCACGAGAGAGAGACAGAGAGAGAGAGAGAGAGAGACAGAAAGAAAGAAAGAGGGGAGGCAAGTGAAGGGAGGAGGGGAGGGGGAGGGGAAGGGGAAGGGAAGGAGGAAGGAAGGGAGAAATGGACAGATACAGACCACAGTATGGGCCAAAATTCCTTTTATAGCCATGGTGATTTTCTTTGTGACTTTTGCAGAGGAAATTGTTGATGGGATTATTTGCGGAATCTGATATGTAGAGACAAACTGCCCAGTTGTTCCCATACCAAATCCTGCACACACGCTACCTCTATTCATAAACACTGCTCACAGCCAATATGTATTCACAGTAATAAATTTTGACACTAGGTTCTTGAGATGCAGGGGGCGCTAATCAAAGACAAAGCTTCCCACCAGGGGCGCACAGTCCAGTGGGGAGGGCAGCCCTGGCGACAGGATGCAGTGCGGGAAGAGCTGCAAGCAGGGACCACCCAGGGGCCCACGGATCCCAGAGGAAGACCCCTGGCCTGAGAGGATGCTGGTACACGGGGAAAGCAAAGGACATCAGGTAGCGGGACCAGCATGAGCAGAAGCTTGGAGGTGAGGAAGACGCTGGTGTGTCGAAGTGGGGCGCTGCCGGAAGGGCCTGGAAGAAGGCACCCCGATGAAGACAGATGTGGGGAGGGTGGCGAATGTGGTACTGCGTGGTTCCTAAGGCCCAGAACACCACGCCAAGTGGTCTGGAATTTATCCTACAGAACAGCGGCAGGTAGAGATGATGGGGAGCGGAACACAGAATTTCTTAATTTTATTTTTTAAAGGGTAAGCTGTACAGATACAATGACGTCGCCTAGGCGTGTGGATGCCTGAAACGGGGCAACTAGGAAAAGAAGCCAGGATCTGGGGCGCAGGGAGCTAGCGCTCTCCGGAGGTGGAGCAAGGTGATGAGTGTGGAGGGTTGGGGAGGGGGTAGTGGGCGGGTGGGAAGGACTGAAACCAGAAGATGAGGCTCGAAGACTGGGCTGGGACTGAAGCTGCGGCCCAGGGGGAGACTAAAACGAGGGTGCTTTGGGGAACTGAGACGTTTCTTGTTCACCTCCACGGTTGATCAGTCATCAGTGAGGAACAAGAAATGTCACAGGGCAAGGAAACAGAGAGGTTGACGGCTAAACTTAGCTGTGACTGACAACGCGCTGCCGCTGTCACGTGCAAGGCTCTATGCAAACCAGGAAAGGGCCCCCCTAACTCGGGGCTAACCTCCCCTCAGCTACCTGGTGCCTTTCCGGTCCTGCGCTACCCTGAAGGGCCGAAGGGCACTCTCCCTCACCTTTCAGGATGGCCTGCAGCGAGGCCACCTCCTCTTGGCAGTGTCGCTGCACTGCAGCCACAGCCTCCGCCTTCGTGCTCTCGCTCACCTCCGCCACAGCCTTCATGGTCTCCATTTCCGCCAGGGCGCCCGCCAGCTCGGCCCGCAGCCGGCCCAGCTCACCTGACTCGGCCTCCACCTTTGCCTCCTCCTGGGGGTGGCGGTCAGGAGCTGTGGGGAACAGGAGTCAGTCTCTCTTCCCGTCACTTCTCGCATTCCCTACACCCCAGGTCACCCACCCAATGCACAGGTGCTGCAACCTACCATCCTGCAGCCCTACCGGCACTCGGCCCCACCCCTCACCTGGCCCCGCCCCGCCCCTCGCCCCGCCCCTCGCCCCGCCCCTCCCGCTTCGCTCCACCTTGGGCGACCCACAGCCTTCCGTAGGCCCCGCCCTCCCTCGCCCCGCCCACCTCTCCTCGCCACTGGTCGCACCCCTGAAGCCATCAGACCACGCCCCTTCCCCCCCGGTGCTTCCAGGCCCCACCCCCTTTCCCAGCTGCACGGCCCCGCCCTCTTTCCCAGTCTCCCTTTGCCCCCAACCTGCGGGCTGCGGGGCTGGCCCCACCTCCGGCCCCACCGCTCCCCATGTGCAAGGACTCGCCCTCACGCACCGGCTCCGGGCCGCCGCTGCCGCCCGTCCTCGCCCGCGGCCTCTGGCGCAGCTGCAGCCATCACTTCAGCGCAAACGGCGAATTCCCTCACTCCCCGGTGACGGCGCTCACCGCTTCCGGGTCCTGTCGGCTGTTTCCGGATCCGCTCGGCTGTTTCCGGATGGGCCCTTGGCGGGCTGCCCAGGCCCGAGGTTGCGGGGATTGCGGAGCGCCGGCCTGAGGTTGCCGAGCCCACACCAGCCCGGGCCCCGCCTCTCCTGGGCGGCGCGGCCCCGTGGGACGCCTGCTGCTCGGAGCCCCGCGGTTCTTTCTCTCCGGAGGGCTCTAGGCGTCTCCGCTTTCTGCGATGCTGTGCTCTAGCTGCATCTCCTCGGGGACGCGCTGCCTCCCTCCGCGTCCCGTCCCCCGCGCCCGCCTTTGATCGCCGGCCGCCCTTCCGCCGCGGCCTGGCTCGCGTTACAGCGAATGGTGGCCGGGCCCTCCCTGCACCTCCGCCCTCTTGCGGCGTCCCTGGGGCCAGGGCTGGGTCGGCTTCATTTTTCTGGGCGCCTCTGAGTCCCCGGGTGATCTGTCATAGAAGTGCGAATCCCCGACTTCACCACCCCCACGGTGGTGCTCTTTCTGCTAATCCCCCTCTCCCCCTCCCAGAGCCTCAAATCCTCCCTCTCCGCCCAGTCTGGGCCCCGGGTCAAGCTCCTATTATCATTGGCCTCTCCCCTTGGCCCGAGACGGACAATTCAAAAGTCCAGAGCCTTGCTTCCCCTCCCCCCAAACTGTTAACAGAGGGAAAACTCTCCACGAAACTGCAAGGCTGATTTTGCCAGCAGACTCTACTTGCAATGTGCAGAGATCTCCAAACCTGGAAACACCCCCACCCCAGCACTAACACCCAGTCCAGGCACCCAGCATCTCTCCGGTGCTTTTGCTTAGTGATGAAACAGCTCACAGGGCTCAGTCTGGGGGTAATAGACAGGAGAATTAGTTAAAAAGTAGACCAGTCTCCAAGGCTGTAAAATTAGAAGAGCATATCTGAAGACAGAAAATGAGGCCAGGCGTGGGTGAGGGCTCGAGCCTGAAATCCCAGCACTTGGTAGGCTGAGGCAGGAAGATCCCTTAGTTTGAGGCTAGCCTGAGCTACATACTAAGTTCAAGGCCAGTTTGAACTATAGAGTGAGACTGTCTCAAAAACAAAAACAGCCAACAAAAAATTTAGTTGAACCTGGAGCCAAAAAACCAAGATCATTAAGATGAAACCCATCAAGGCAGGAGAGTGATCTGCCATGCTCCAGAGAACTTTCCCAGAGGATAAGGGGCAAATTTCAGATGGCAAAGAACACACATCATAGAATAGCAACTGAAGAAACCTGGTTCTCTTTGCTTTGCTAACATAGGAAAGTTACTCCCCAGGGTGTGACGTAAGGTGGTAATAAGACATGCACAGCATGAAGAGGTGGGTAGGATAAAGGAGAGCGCAGGCTTAGCTAAAACTCCGCCTCCACAGGAGCACAGGAGCTAACACGGAGAAAGGTCCACAGGACGCATGGACCCTGCCTATCTCTCTCTCTCTTTTTTTTTTTTTTTTTGTTTTTTCTCTGGTACTGGGAACCGAACTCACGACCTTGCGCTTGCCAGGCAGGCGTTTTTGCCGCTGAGCTAAATCCCCAGCCCCTGACCCTGCCTATCTCTTGTTCTTTGTTGGGGTCACCCTGGGGTTCCTGTTCCCTATGGACTTACCCCTTATGCTGGAACATAAGGATTAAAGCCTTGTTCTTGGGCTCAGGTGCTTTTAACTGTTCTGGAAGCACAAAACCACAAATTTGGCAACAGTGGGACACCTAGCCCCTTTACTTCTAATCCAAGTAGGTGAAGCAGTCTTTGTACAACAGAGATCGTGGCTCATGGCTGCTTCAAATCTTCTAGCTATCCAGTTTGAAAATGGGCGAAGGGATGCCTCATTTCTTTGAGACCTGCACTCCACCCTTGTGTGCTTCCTAGATCAACCTCTGATAAATCCTTCTTATGCCTCTTAGAAACAAAACAAAAAAGGAAAGAAAATAGGCCAAGGATAAGAACAGACAGTTCATTGATGTCGCAGAGGCAAATAGTCTCGCAAAAAGATATTTAACATTAGCCACTAGAGAAATGTAAATTAAAGCCACAGGGAGACAACACTACACACCTCTCAAAATAACTAAGATAAAAGAGTAATATAAACTGGGCATCGTAGAGGATGCCTGTCATCTAACACTCTGGGAAGCTGATGCAGGGGGATCCCAAGGATGAGCTCATCCTGGGCAATTTGGGGACTTGGTGAGAACTTCCCAAAAATAAAAAAAGGGCTGGGGATATAGCTTAGGGCAATGCCTTGGGTTCAATCCCTGGCACTACAAATAGTAATAATAATAATAATAATAATAATAATAATATAAAATAAATTATTTCTGGAAGCCAGGCATGTTGGTACACACCTGTAATCCCAGCACTCAGGAGGCTGAGGCAGGAGGATCATTGCGAATTCAAGACCAGCCTGGGCTACAAAGTGAGCTCAAGGCCAGCCTGAACTGCATAGGGAGACCCTGTCTCAAAAAGACAAACAAACAAAAAAAAAAACAAAAAAAACACCTTTGGATATAAAGTGGATTAGCGTTGGTAACTTAGAGCATGTGCTAAAATGTTTCCTTTTATGCTTCCTAATTTTTTTCCTTCCTTTACAAACACTTAACCGAGCACCTAGCAGGTGCCAGGGTACATCCGGGAACAGAGAAGATGCCTGCTGTTAAAGACAGAGTAGTCTAGGGCAGAAGGTTGATGAGAAGACCAAGAAGCATAATTTGAGACTGGGGAAGTGCTGGGAAGGAAATCAAATTAGGACTTCAGGTCAAAAAGTACCTGGGGACTCAGAGATGGTGTCTCTGAGGAAGTGACATTTGACTTGCTGACAGGAGCCAGTCAAGCAGCAAAGCAGCAGAGGCATAGGCCCCAGGGGTGGGACGGGCTCCACAGGGTGAGCAGGAGAGGGGTGGAGAAGCGGGTGGAAAATGTAGCATCACTCCGGGCTGTGGAGGCCAAGGTTTGGAGCTTTGTTTTCCGTAGATGAAAAGCCCCTGCAGTGTTTTAAGACAAGGACTGGCATGCTCTGGCAGCCTGGCAGCTGGGGAGCGGATACAGGGGACTGCAGAGATTCTGTTGTGTGAAAGCCAAGTGGGGACCTGGCTGCTCACTGCCTCCATTCCCCCGTGCCCGCTCTTCCGCCTCCCAGGGCTCTCAACCCAGTTAAAGGGAAGTGGGGGGCCCTGCCACCTGTAAGGGTCCCCTGGGGTTTGCCCAGGCAAACAGGAAGCCACAACCCAGTGAGACAGGCCTGGGAATCAACAACTGAGAGTGCAGTCACTTGAGTCCCTGGACCCTTTCCCTGCCTTTAGTGAACGGCACACACACACACACACACACACACCCCAGAGGGCTCAGCTACAGCCAAGCAGCAAATGCCCTACCCCCGCCCCGACGCAGTGAGAGGGAGGAAGAGATTTAGGAGTCAGGACTCCCAGGTTCTCCTGCTCACTGTAACACCAGTTGGACGTGTGACCTTAGGCGTTGCCTTTCTTGTTTTGTTTTGTTTTTCTTCTGGTACCAGGAATCGAACTCACGACCTTGCGCTTGCCAGGCAGGCGCTTTGCCGCTGAGCTAAATTCCCAGCCCAGGTGTTGCCTTTCTTGGAGATTCGATTTCCCCATTTTTAAAAGGATCACTTCCCTAACGAAAGCAGGGGCTTCCTGGGGGAGAAAGGGACATAAATCCTCAATCATTTCTTTATTTTATTTGGTAGTACTGGGAATTGAATCTACATCCCAGGCATTTTTATTTTATTTCTTATTTTGACACAGGATCCCAGGCTTCCCAGACTGGTCTCAAACTTGTGACTCTCCTACCTCAGCCTCCCAGAATGTTGGAATTAAAGCACGCGCCACCATGCCCGCTCACCAGTCATTCAAGAGGCCTGCTACAAAGGAGCTATCTATAGTGCCTCCGGTCTTTCAAACAGTTGCCCAGCCCCTTCCCAGTGTGATGTACGTGGGCTGACTTAGCCCCAGAATAATCTATGGTGTAGCTCTAGTTTACAGGTGAAGAAACCTGCTTGTGGTGTGAACCCCAAAATCTGGCTTGAAAAAGCCATTAATTGATGGCTTAGCCAAAATCTTAGCCATTAATTGATGCTAAAGGTCCACTCTCTCTGCGTACTGGTAACATGGTGTTGAGTTTCTAACGCAGGGCCTCTCGGGCACTAGATGAGAACTCTACCGCTGAGCAACGCCTGCAGCTCACAAACTATATTTTTATAATGTTAATATTGTCCTTGGTTGACAGAGAAAGAAACTGAGGCTTTGGGTGATACAGGAATTAACCAAGTAATGGCCCAGAAGATTCAAACTCTGATCTGCCAAGATGTGATGGGCAGGGTGTGCAGATGGAAGACTCAGGAAATGTAAGAAATGTTAGTTTGCCTGGCGTGGTGGTGCACGCATGTAATCCCAGCAATCAGGAGGCTGAGGCAGGAGGATTGCTGTGAAAAAACCCACAAATGTTGTTGAACAAAAGAAAGTTGTGTGTGTGTGTGTGTGTGTGTGTGTGTGTGTGTGTACGCGTATTAATGATTCAGAGCCTGGGGAAGAGTGGCAGGAGGGAGCCAGCCCCTTAAAACACACACCACACACACACACACACACACACACACACACACACACGAAAGAAAAAAAGAGGAAGCCCCTAAAACTGAATCCACTCATGCAACAGGTACTTGTCAGGCACACAGGAGGTGCCTGTTCCAGGGCACTGTGACAAACAGTGGCAAACAGGACCGTCACTGCTCCAATGGGCGGACGTACTAGCGGGGGAGACAGAACAAGCTGACAGGCAAATCAGATCATTCCACATGGTCATAACTGCTGGGATGAAAGTAAAGCAGTGTAGCCAGGTGTGTTGATGCATGTTTGTAATCCCAGCACTTGGGAGGCTGAGGCAGGAGGAATGCTATGAGTTCAAGGATAGCCTGGGCTACATAGTGAGACACTGTCTCAAAAACAAACAAACAAATAACAACAAAAGAAGAAAACAGTGTGGCAGGGAAGAGGTGAGTTGTGTGGTCCGTAAAGGTTCCTGGAGACGGGGCCTAAGCTGTGACCACCTCCTTCCTCTCTGGGGGGACTGCCTGCTGCCTCCGCAGACACCCATGGTTCATTGCCCACCGGGCCCCAGCCTGCCCCAGCATCCCCTGCGCGGCAAAGCTGGGTGGCCTGGGATCCTGGCTGCCATGCCACCTCCTCTCCTCCTCTCCCTCCTCCTCTTCCTTTTCCCCAAGGGAGTCAGGCCCCAGAAACCACTGCTGGTGGAGGTGGAAGGTACGTCCGAAGGGCAGGGAGGGAAGAAGTCGGGCCTGGAGGCCTGGGCTCCGCTGGGCGACCTCAGCTGAGTAACTGACCCTCTCTGAGCCTCCATTTTATTTGTGAAAGTCTGGGAGGATCTGGGAGGGCTCTGAGGGCTCCTCACTCCCACCCTGTGGGCCCTCCCTCCTGCTTACGGTCTGTTGCTTTCTGCAGGAGGCTAAGCCTCCTCTCTCTCTCCCCCACCCTTCACAGAGGGAGGCGATGCTGTGCTGCCGTGCCTCCGGGGTCCCTCCAGTGCCCCCGCTGAGCAGATGGTCTGGTCTCGGGGCAACCAGTCAGCACCCTTCTTAGAGCTGAGCCTGTGGCTCCCCAGCCTAGGCATCCACATGGGGCCTCTGGGCATCCTGGTGCTCGTCGTCAATGCCTCTGACCACACGGGGGGCTTCTACCTTTGCCAGGCAGGGCCCCCCTCCGGGGATGCCTGGCAGCCCGGCTGGACTGTGAGCGTGGAGGGCAGCGGTGAGGGCCGGGCCAGGTGGGGCGCGGGCTGGGTGAGAAGAGGGAGGCCCACCATGGACTGGGGTAGGGGTGTCCAGCAGCCAGAGAGGGGCTGGCGGGACGAGGGACAAGAAAGGAGCCAGTTTCGGGGGAGCAGAGGCCTGCAGCTTTGCGACACAACACTGGGCTGCGCCAGGTCTGTCCCTGTCCCTGCCTCTGGGTCTCTGCTTTCCTGGTCTCAGTGTCTCTCCTCCCTCCTGATGTCTCTGTGTCTGGGGCTGGGTCTCTTCCCAGGGGAGCTGTTCCGGTGGAACGCTTCAGATGTAGGGGACCTCAGCTGTGGCCCGGGGAACGGGTCCTCAGCGGGCCCCAGGCCGTCTTCTCCCCAGCCCCCCAACTCCCAGCTCTATGTGTGGGACAAGGGCCTCCCTTGGAGCTGGGAGGCGGAGCCGGTGTGTGCCCCACCCAGGGGCAGTCTGAACCAGAGCCTCACTCAAGGTGAGGGGGCGCGCTGGGGCGGGGGTGGGGGATGCCCGGGCTCCGAGGAGGGGGGACGTGACCGGAAGCTGGGGGGCTTCGGGGAGATGAGGCTCCTCCCCAAGGGTCAGGCTTTCCTCACCTCAGTCTCTTCTTGCTCCAGACCTCACTGTGGCCCCTGGCTCCACACTCTGGCTATCCTGTGGGGTGCCCCCTGCCCACGTGACTCGAGGTCACGTCTCCTGGACCCAAGTGCACCCTAAGAAGCCTAACAGCCCATTGCTGAGCCTCTACTTGAGGGAGAAGCCCCCGGCCCAAGAGATGTGGGTCCTAGGGCCTGTTCTGTCGCTGTCCCAGGTCACTGCCGAAGCTGCTGGTACCTATTATTGTCTCCGTGGCAACCTGACCACCGAGATACACGTGAAGGTCATGGCCCGGTCAGGTACAGTTTGTCTCCCCTGCGGGCGTCCGTGAGGGGCTCCTGGAAGGACTGGGTGCCAGTCCTGGACCAAAACCTGGGGGCTGGGGCTGGCCTCGCCTCCAAAGCCAGCCTCTACGCTGAGCAGCGACTCCAGCTCTTTGCTTCTTCTAAGACCTGACTTCTCTGGATCTCTGCCAATGGCCGCTCCTTCCCAGGAGCTTTGACGAGGCTTCCTCCCCTGCTCCTCGCTGTCGAAACCCTGGGCTTCTCATCCTGGTCTGCGCACTCCTGTCCTCCGACTCCTTTACCCTCATGGCTCGCGGTCACTGTGTGCCGGTGACTGTATCCACGCCATCTCTGGGAATTGCCTTTGATGCCGTATGGACCCTTCAGGCGTGGCATAGACAAAGTAGATCGACAGTCTCCTGAGCGGCTCTGCAAAATGCGAGATGCCACCACCTGCCCACTCACCCAAGCTCGGAGCCTCGCGTCCTTCCGCACCCCTTAAATCTGTTCAAATGTGCCGGCCATGCTGTCCTTTAGTACAGCCTGACCGTGCTCAACCTCAACTTCCATGCCAAACTTGACCTTGGCAGTGTTCCAGGTCCTAACCCTACCCTTACCGATTCACCTCTGCCCTTCGCTTTGACCACCGCCCTGACATCGCCCTGCTGTATACAGTTTGCTCAATGAATACTGCACCGCGTTCTGTGCCAGCTTCTGCCTCTGAGGCATGGCTCCTCGGAGGGAGGAGAACAGCCTCACACCTTGGGACTTCAAGTCTGTGTGTGGCTCCTGTCCCCCAGATCAAGGGTCCTTTGTTTTCTTGAGGCTGGAAGGTAAGGTACCCGTCTGGGACCCTTGCTCATAGCGCCTGTCTGTCCCCCAGCAGTATGGCTCTGGCTGCTGAGGAGTGGTGGCTGGAAGGTCCCTGCTGTGTCTTTGGTTTATCTGATCTTCTGCCTGGGTGCTCTGGTAGCCTTTCTTCATATCCGAAGAGGTGAGTCACGTCCCCGGCCAGTTTGCCCAACCTTACTCCACCTTTGTCAGGGTGTGCCCATGTTGGCCAGCCTGACAGTCACCTCCCTCTCCTCCCATCCCGCCCCTCCGCGTCCCTCAACCCTGTCCCCCGACTCCTCTGACCCCCTCAAATTCCCCAGGCCCCTGGAATTTGAGCCACCATCTCCTCTGTTAGCCCAAGAGACCACCCCAGCACCCTGTCAAGCAGCCCCTCCTCTGATCACTCCCCCTAACTCCCACTAGCCCTGGTCCTGCGGAGGAAAAGGAAGCGAATGACTGACCCCACCAGGAGGTAACGCGAGTCCACCCAGCCCCAGCCTTGCACCCTGCTGTCTCTGCCTTCTGGTTCCTCTGCCCAGGTGGGGTGGAGGTGGGGTGGGGTGGAGTGGAGTTGGGGGTTCTTTGCTCCACCTCTACTAGTTGAAACATTGCCCAGGATCAAGGTCCGGCTCCCAAGCTACCCCCTCTGTCAAGACCTCCTTAGATGCAGGGCCTGTAATCTCAGCACTAGGGAGGAAGGAGGATCACTGCAAGTTCGAGGCCAGCCTGGGCTTCATACTAAATTCAAGACCAACCTGAACTACATAGTGAGTCCCTGTCTCAAAAACAAAACAAACCGGGCATGGTGGCGCACGCCTGTAATCCCAGCACTCACGAGGCTGAGGCAGGAGGATCATTGAGAGTTCGAGACCAGCCTGGGCTACAAAGTGAGCTCAAGGCCAGCCTGAACTTCATAGTGAGACTCTGTCTCAAAAAGAGAAAAACAAAATACAACAAAACAAAACAAACAAAAGACCTTGGAATGGTTCCAGACTCCGGTGTAGGCTGTCCGGTACAGAGGAGCCAATCCCAAGCGACTGAATCTTGAGTGGGCTCTTGAGTCCCTCCCAGGTCTAGCCTGACGGGGCACCTGCCCTTCTCCCAACAGATTCTTCAAAGTGACTCCTCCCCCAGGAAACGGGACCCAGAACCAGTACGGAAACGTGCTGTCCCTCTCCACGCCCACCTCCGGCACCGGTAAGAGGCACCTGAAATCCTCCGACCCCGCCCCCTGGCATAAAGCTCCGCCCAGCGACAAGCTCCACCCACTCTCTTAATTCCCTCCAATCCCCTGGGCCCAAGCTCGGAGCCCCTCCCACGGGGTCCGGGGCACCGCCCAGATGTGGCTCCGCCCCCAAGACACAGCTCAAGTTCAATGCCAGGGTGGAATCTTACCCTAGAACTTTTTTTTTTTTTTTTTTTTTTGTTGTTGTTTTGCCAGTATCATGCTGATTTTATCACAGTAGCTTTGTAGTATAATTTCAAGTCAGGAATTGTGATGCTTCCTGCCTCGCCTTTGGTGCCCAGAATTGCTTTTGCTATTCTAGGTCTCTTGATTCCAAATGAATTCCAAATGTTTTCTCTAATTCTGTGAGGTATGCTAATTGTATTTTGATTGGAATTGCATTA